GTAAACGGCGAGCATGTTAAAAAGATTGATGAATGTAGAGGAAGCGAAAGAGATCTATTTAAATCGAAGCATTTGGAGTTCCATTGTTTCTACCTACCCTAATGGAAGACAGGCGTGACATATGTATGTATATGTATTGGAAAATATTTCAATAATGACTGAACTATCTCTTTCCGAATTACAAATTGAGTGTATCTAAGCATAAATAATATTGTCACTTATTGAATGTGACTTATATAAGAAGATGTAACATATTATTTAAATGAACACCTGTATATTTTTTACAGGCATAGAAAACATGTTAATGCAATTTCAAATCAGGTTTTTCGTGATTTGATCGCCTTTGGTCCATTTTTGTGTTATCTTAAAGTCGTTATGTAAATTCATCGATTCCTTTTTGATTGTATTACTTCTTTAAAATGTTAAATAAATATATGAATCATAATACTTACATAAAATTGTCACATTAAAATTTTATGTATCTTATGTATACTTTGAGGTGACTTACCTGACCCAGGATTGCTTAATGGGCATTATATAAATGCATTAAAATAACATTTTCTTATTTTTATATACTAATAAGTAATAAAAAAGTTGAATCGCTAGATTGTTGATTCTTGGTAGAATTCATTTTCATAACATTTACAAATGTCAGTTAGGTATGCCCAGAGCCTTAGATAATATTACCATGAAACTAACCAGGTCATTAAAGTTTTATAATAATAAGTTTTTACATTGAAGAAACAGCAATCGTGTGTCTATATATAGTATATATCTTGCTTAACATGTAGAATAATGCTGTTTATGTCATAGACGACGATTACCAATTTCCATCAAGTGGGCTATCAGAATTGAATAGAATAGAAATTGTTTATTGGTAGGAAAACACAATTACAACAGAAAATACATATATTATATAAGAAGTGTATCATATTAGGCAAAAGGAACTCATTTGATACTATAAGTGTCCCAGTATAATGTGTACAGCTGCCCAGCGCTGGTTTTCAGCCAGTCCCTCTTTTAACTATCAGTATGTTTACTGTTTCAGTATATATAAAAAATACTATGTTAAGAAAAACAGCAACTTCAATTATTGTGATTACATAAGTGAATTTTAAATCAACCTTAGAGTAAACCCATGCCGTATCGTTCTGGCGTAGAATGAGCCACCTGTTCCTTTCCCGTGGGTGTCGTAAGAGGTGACAAAGAGAATTTAATGGACTAGGGATGGGCAGTACTGTCCTTCTTAAAAAAAACATCACCTAAAGCCTAACTGCGGTTGGAAACCTGCTTGCTTAGCGTAGCAACTACTAGTAAAATTAATGGCAGATAATGATTAGAGAAAACGCTGTCGATTATAAAATGTGAAATCAAAATCTGTTCCAAATCCAACTTGCGTAAATATTATCTAACATACATATAAAAAATAGAGGTAGATGAAATGAAAACTTTCTTCTTTGAAAACGATAGAAGAGTATTCATCATCATCATCATCATCTCGTCCACTGCTGAACGTAGACCTCTCCCATAGACTGCCACTAAAAACAGTTTTGACCCACCTGCAGCCACTAACTCCCTGCAATGCATTTGATGTCGTCACTCCATTTAGAGGGAAGGGAGGTCGTCCTACACTGCCGTGTGGTTCCGGTATAGAATAGGCACACTATCCTTTTCCGTGGGTGTCGTAAGAGGCGACTAAGGGAAGGCAAGGAATGGGCAGCAGCGTCTCTCTTAAAATATTTCCAAAGCCTAACTACGGTTGCCAATCCGCTTGCCAAGCGTGGCAACTACTGCCAAAATCTCCCAAAGAGGAGGCTTATATTCAGAAGTGGACAGTTAAAATCTAATATGATATAATGAACACGTTGCTTGTATATGTAATATTATATATAATAGTCAAATACCTATCAAATTTTGTAACTTTTTATGGATAGTTAATGCTTAAAATATTGGCATTTTGCTCTTTAAAAATATTAAAGTATAAATTATGATTTGAAGATCAATCTCAACTGTTGATGGCAGCTTTTTACAAAAAAACGTGTTATCGATATAAATCTTATGTTTTTCGATGATCGACGCTAGGTAGTTTGTATTTTTCACCTACGATTTCTGATCAAATGTCAGTCTTGATCTCGAAGAACATTTGTCATTCATGCCTATCACGTGTTTATGGCTTCAATGTGTTAAGTGGCATGTCTATATTAAAATTTAAATTGCATTAGCGTATTACTAACGTTTCTGTTATAGGATATATAATATTTATTCAAAATATAAAAAACATTTATTATCACAAAAAAATATTAACAATATTCAATCAATGAATATATGTTGCTAATTTGATTTGTTTATTTTAAAGATTTTATATGCTTATAAATTAATCCTATTAAGTAAAAAGAAAAAAATGTGACTCGTGTTGTTAGATTTTATTCTTCTACGACTTGGCATTCGTGAATAAGTACATAAAATATCCTATGTGCTAAGTTAGGATACAATCTACCGATGTACTAAATTGAATTCGATTCCGTTGAGTAGTTTTTGCAATAAAAACAAAACCAAACTACTTCACTTTTAGAAAATTAACAATCATTTGTTGCTACTGTCATTGTGACAGTAGCAGAATTTTATATTTTGTATAATAATATTTCTAATCTTGATATATTGATATGAACGAAGAGAACGGTTTGTTTAATTTATAGCTTTACATTAACAAAACGAGTCGATTTGTTAGTGAACCTGCGTTAACCCGAGCAAGTTTACTGACCTGTAACTTTCTGTATTCTATTAAAAAGTAACATTTAAAACTAGTTTTGAAATATCAGACTTTTTATAGTTTTAATTCCCATAATGATCTTAATTTTATTTTATTTTGACTCAAGTGTCTTATTATTAGATGAATATATAAAAAGTGCACAGAAATTCAGTGTGAAATTGCTAGAAGTAACGGAAACTAATCCTTCCATGCAATATGTATTTATATATGTATATATATGTATTTGGTAATTTATAATGGCATATTGAGTCATTTGTATTGTCATCATCATTCATAGCCTGTGGTATCCCACTGCTGGGTAAAGGCCTCCTCGAACTGTTTTCACCTTCCACAATTTTTAATCAAGGCAGTCCTTGCACAATTTGTATTTAATTTTTTTTTTTCAAATCTTGTAGTAGGTAAAGATTCTACTGCTGATTTCTGTAGTTATCATCATCGTATCAATCAGCCGATATCTGCTGAATATAGGCCTTGCCCATAGACTGTTATGTAGACAGGTTCCGACTCATCCGCCTAAACTGATTTCCTGCAATACATTTGAGGTTATCACTCCGATTGGTAGGGGGTCGTTTTACACTCTGTTTGCATGTACCGGCTCGACACACAAGAACCTTACTTCCCCATCGGTTATCGGTTCTTCTGGCTATGTGACCAGCCAATTGTCACCACAGTTTGCTTATATCTTTGTAGCTATAAGGCTTTTTAATGAAACTTGGTTAAAATGAAAGATGAGTGAAAACATAATACAATGCACCTAGGTTGTTTATTTTCAGCTAACCACATCTTAGCGGCTAATTTACTTCCGGCTATTTTTTGTAAGAATAGAAATAAGAAAAGAATTAATTTTCAATTAGTATGTGTATTTTTTAAAGGGTGAAAGGTAGAATGGTAGTCTCGCCTGCATTATTGAAATACGCTGTATAGCAATATATTTGCTAGCAATGGCGTTTTTAGACCTGCACTACTAACAAACCTTTTCCTCTCATAAGTGTAGGTTTTATCGAAAAGAAATTTGTAAACGTTTTGCGCGTGTTTGTGTATTATATTACTCTAAATATTAATTTTTTTCTATATCTTTTTTAATGTTGTTATAACTTGCAAACTAAGTATATGTAAGTGCTGTGGATTATTGAAATAAATTTTCATTCATTTTTTAAATGGAACTATGTTTTTTTCAGCCAGTTTTCTAAGCTATCGTATGTTATCATGTAAAACCTAAAAAAAGCATGACTAGAGGAAATTTATCGCACCCATTGTCACCTGGCAACCCTAGATCGCGATTGAGAGCAGGCATTCCGGGTGTGGTGTCGTCACATATTATTCGAAATTTTCCTTTTAGATTATATAATGAAAATAACAAAGTTACATTTTTATATCTTTCATCTATCACAATAATTTCCACTTTTCACAATTTATAAAAAATTTGGTTATTAATTTTTACTAATACCGAATTAGTTTCATTGTTCAAAATTAATAATAATAAATTTATTGTTCTCTATGTGTTGTGAAGATACCTGTAATATAATTTATCTGTAAAGTAAGTTAAAACACTTTTGAAAAAAAAAAGACTTTCCATACTGTAACTTGTTGTTTACAGTTAGAACAAAGTAGGTAAGTATCTACGTTATGTTGTTGTGTCAATAAATTTTCAAACTGAACGTAATAAAAATAAAAAATAAAGATAAAAAACTTTAAACAGTAATAATATTGCAGTCCTATATAGATTTCTTCTTATGATATGAACTATAATACTATTCAAGACTCATTGAAAGAATAACATTTTGTAGAAACCATATACTACGTTCTACGCCCTCTTGTGAGCATATATTACATTACATAGTAGTTCTTTCTTGGCTATTTTGCTGAAAACATATTTGTATAGATAAAGAGGATTGTGTAGTAAGGCTTTGAGTGACAAGCATTGTGCAGATATTAAGCAAATGTGCCAGTAGGTGGCGTTAAAAAATAAGTTACTTAGTACACAATTTAAAAGAAAAGTAACACTAATAATTAAATTGTGTTAGTCAAAAAGTAATGAATCGTTTTTGATTAAATTTGTATGGAACCAATCTGTAGGTTGTATCTTTTCAAACGAGAAAGAATTTTCGAAGTCAGTTTACAACTGACGAACTAATGAGGTAATAAACATAAAAAAAATACAACCAAACTGGGAACCCCTTATTTTTTAATTCGGTTAAAAATAAATTTGCTCAATAATATAAAATGCAAATTTATTTAAAAATACAATAATTTATTAATGAAATAAATAAAAAAACATACATTTAAATTAGAATAACAATGAAATACAACAAGTTTGCTGTTAGATTTCTTCAATTTTTATATATATTCATATATAGATATAAATTAATCGTATTTTACTTTACTAGAGGCATTCTATAAAAACTGGATGACAATTTTCTAATTTCCCATCATAAAGACCTTTTGCTAATGGCTCTTGTGTATTCCTTAATTTTAATTTCGTATTATTATTTAGCACTATGGTACTAAAGGGATCTACTGAAATGCTGTTATGTGGATATGGAGTAAGTTTGTCGATGGGTTCAACTTCTTTTGCATGACCACTTATAAAACCTAATTCTTTACAAATTGCTTCCAGTTCTGATTTTGTATGGTTTTGTGTCGGGTAACATTTTGTACGCCATACTCCGTGGGATCGAATAATAACTTGCCCTGTGCCGTATCTATGGTAAAAAAAATATATTAAATACGATTGTATAAACACGATATAAGTAATGTATTAAAATTTAATTAATATTTTATTTTATTAAATTATTTGTTATTTTTGAAAAGATATCGAGACTTATAAAAAAATGGTAGGTACTAGTTTTAAGGTGTAGAATTATGAAGTAATGTAATATTTGGATATTTGTTCTAATTTTTGACAAACCCTCTTGTTTTATTCAAATCATGAGTACACGACAAAAATAAATTAGAGGAAGTAGTATAAAAAATAAAAAAGTATTCCTAGTTTTAAAAGTGAATATTTTGATTATTACAAAAAGATTATAAATTTTATGTTTGCTAAAATAATCTATAAAACTTACGGTGTTCCAAATGGTCCATGTAAACCGATACAAGTTGATTCATCTTCGCCATTAGGACAATCTCGCACACCATCACACACCATGTCTGGAGCCACACAATGGTCTACTTCACTTATTTTACCACATCTATAAAAGGTCAGAAAATAATAGAATCAAATATTAACTTATTGATTTTTTTTTATTGTACTAGTCGTTAACTATCCACTACAGAACATAGCTTCCCCCGTAAGGGGGGGGGGTTACCAGTAGTCACCACGCTTGGCAGGCGAGTTGGCAACCGCAGTTTGGCTTTCGGTGATAAAACATCACCGATGAGATGAGAAGAGGGATGCTGCTTGTTCGTCCCTCCACCATAAGCCCCCTTAGTTGCCTCTTACGACAGCCACGGGAAAGTAAGGAATGGCCTATTCTATGCCGGGACCTACACGGCTATAAGTTAGTGAATAGTACCTCATTACTTGTAAATTGGTATCACTAAAACCAGCATCCTATCTTCAGAGGACATGTCTAAATACTAACGCTTTTATATATTTTAATTAATTTTCTCATAATATTATTTTAGTATCATATGTTGTGATCATTAAAAGGGTTTAATTTAACGAGCTGCATAATTACAGCAGGTATTTATAATATAAATTTTAATTGATTTTAAATTTAGCTTCATTGAAAGCATGAGTTTGTGGACAAAAGTTGGCAATTATTGTTGATTTGCTAAAGGATACAAGTTCAAGCTCATTTGAAAAATAAAAGTTTTTAATTTAATAGCTTGGTTTAAATTCTCTAAGGCAGGATAACAATTTTATAATTATTTTAAAGAAAAGTTACATGAACTAAATATATAGTGATGAACGTAAAGTACATTTTTATGTCGCTTCATAAAATATTTTTACTATTTGCTTCTGACTTTTTAGTACAACACAAGCGATGCATTAACGATTATTTATAAAAATATCATCTTGGAAATATTTTGCTATAGTATTAAAACCTTTAGAGTGCCTTATAAAATATAAGCGTCATTTCAAATTATATTATATTGTAAACTCTTTTAAAATGATGTAGAAAATTCACACAGCCATAAAGTACTAAATTCCAGCTTCCACAATATTAATTTTTAACAGCATATTCCTAAAAATAAGATACATTTTGTAGGGACGTCTGGAATTTGAATTTAATTGAATAAACTCTTGGCAAATATTTTTATAATGAATACTGCGGCTACTGTACAATTTATTTTAATATACAAAGTAAAAAATATTCTTTGTGGCATATTACTGGCCATCATAATACGTCTTTTATATTACTGGCCTTCATATTTCGTCTTTTATATTATTATATTGATTTTCTATTGTTCTTATGTTTTTACAATTTTGTCATTCGTCTTTATGTTTTCCTACTGATGAAGATGAGATAAAAGAGAACTCCAATATTAAGCATTTTTATTATCAACCCGTTTATCTTAATATTTTTCTTTCATAGATTTTCAAATGGCTTATATTGGGCTTAATCATTGACTTATCCATCATATTTGTACATAATTATTTGGGGCCAACGCAATCGTTGACCCCAAATAATAGCACAAACGTAAGGTATTTAAGGTGAGTCATCATCATCTGCCTTCTAGCGTTTAAAATTTTTTAGGTTAGCAGACATTTTATTGTCTCTTATTCTGATCTTTCTAATCTACCGATCATTTTAATTTCACACCGTAAACATTTATAAGATTATGTAAGTAACGATTTCAACACAAGCTGTATCCGAAACTCCATTTATATGAGTAAGTTGTATAGATTAACCAGGTCAAAAAATAGTAATGCTGGGTTGAGCCTTTAGAGCAATATTACAACAATTATAATAAATATTATAATACCAAACAAAAAATCCAACTTCACATTATATTGCGCCTAATAATTTTAATACCTCACCAGAGGTAGACTTTGTACAAAAATCGTATGCTTGGGTACCTCTGTCCCATTCGTGTTTCAACCGTAAAGCAGTTGTGTTTGCGTGGCTGTGTTTCAGTTTGAAGGGTGGGATATGGCATGAATTTACATGGTACAGAGGAATAACACCTGAGCCCTCAGGAATGACAACGCATGGGGGGTATCATGGGCGAAATAGTATACTCTGTTATGCCCATGGTACTGCTCATGTCTATAGGCGATGGTTACCACTTTCCATTAGGTGGGCCGTCAGCTTGTTTGCCATTCTAAGTAGTATAAAAAAAAAATTAAAACTTCTTACGGAAATTACACACCATATACATGTAGATAGGTAAGTACTCACTGGTATGTCCTTTTAGCATAGCATTTACAGAACATAGGATCTTCGTCACTCCTGTCTTCGCAGTGAAGGATGCCATCGCATAATCCAGAAGGCATAACTCTAGCTAAGTAGCCGGAACAGATAACATGCTCGGGCTCGTCGGTTCGATCACCGCAATCATCACGACCATCATTGAATAATTGTTTAGGAATACATTTGCCGTTATGGCATCTCAGTTGACCCGAAGAACATTCTAGAATTATAAATTAATACATCGTTCTGTTATTGATTCCATTCATGTGTATAATTTCGCATGGAAGAAATTGCGAGTAAATAAATCTTATATAAGTGTTGGATAAAGTGGTGTATATGAACGTATACTAATTTATTAGAAATTTGATTATAATATTTCGATAAGAGTTATAATAGATTCAATAAGAAAATTCTATAACATTCATGATACAATTCATTCGAAATGATTTCTGAAGTGTTGTTTATTGTATTTCTTCTTATTAATCTACGAAGCGATCTAATAATGTTCTGATAGTCACTTAAAATAAATTGAGGGACGTTCCTTTAGGGATTGATACAATCTATAATTGTATTTATATCACAGAGATTTTTACTTTTTATTTAAGAATTTATGAAAAATATGTTTTCTGTGAGTAATACTGATAATTGTTTTTTATATTTCATAGAGTATATTTTGAAATTTATTTTACGTAATAAATGATGTGGGTAGTTGAATCAAATAAATTATTTATTTCATTGAAGTGCATAAGAATATATAAATAGGCTTTATATAAGTTGATATGATACATTTAATGTATAAAGTATGGTGTAAATAAATAAATATTGAATATAATTCGCAACTATAAAAGTTTAATAAAACCTTACCACATCCCCTATGATGAGGGTCGTTTTGACATATCTGCGTTTTTTTTCCACACGCCTGTTCAGACTCATCTTGCCCATCTTCACAGTCCTTCACTCCATTACACACGTGAAGCATTTTTATACAACGTCCACGGCTGCACCTTACGCCGTCACATGTTTTCTCGACTATCTGTTTATTGGGCTCGTACAAATCTTTATTACCTATAATTATAATTAGGTTTACTTAGATTTTTATCATATATTTATAGTAGGATGTTAAATATAACATATATATATATATATATATATATATATATATATATATATATATATATATATATATATATATATATATATATATATATATATATATATATATATAGCTCTAAACATAATACTATCTAATTCTACAAAAATACAGCTGTAGAAAATAACTATCTGCCAAGGATTCGGGAGTAGTTATACTAGACTATGGTACAGCGAACGAGGCTCATTTCGAAGCATGTTACTATGTCTTGAGATTCCAGTGATAATTAATTGATAAATATAATTAAATACCTACTTTGTTTTTGTACAAATATATAAAAAAATCCTAATCAGTATAAATATACATACCTACTTATGAACAATTGATAAAAATGTTCTTTATGTGAACTTATATAATAGAGTATTATAAAAATATGACTTTGTTCATTTGAGTACTGACCAAAATGTTTTATTTCTGCTTTTATATTTTCTATACTATTTGCATTAATATGCTCTCCAAGACCGCATTCCCCTCTGCTGTCAACAAATGATGCAGCAGGATACCAGCCTTGTTCTGTGTGGCAACTTATTATGCCAGCCCATTGCTGATGAGAATTCATACCTGCCTGCAAGAATATTAATAATATATATTATCCAAAGAATTGATTTCAGTAGGCATAACAACTTCTTTACAGTAAAGACGTAAATAAACAATAAAGAAGATGATCATAACTTTATATTGTTGAATAAGAGACATTTAACAATATAAAGAAAACAATATATAAATAATCTAAAAAATATATAAATAATAAATATTGGATTTGAGAATAAAGGAAATTCCCCAAGAAGAATTTTTAAGATGTCTAATTTATATTTTTTGCAAAGAAATTTCTTCACTGGATAGTTAATGATTTTACGGAACGAAAAATATAATAAAACAAAAAGATAAATTTTATTTTTGGATTAAATTTTGTAATGGTTCTTTAAACTTGTAAATATATATTTATATTTGGTACTAAATGTGGAATACGGAAAAAACATTTCTTAAGACATAGCATATTTTTTTATCATAAATCACGCAGTTGCCAGAGTCGATTAGCGCTTGTAGTAAATAAATATAAGTTACAGCTTCCATTTTAGATATTAAAAATATAGAGAGATGACAGTGTTATATTTGTAATTTTATACACTTTGGTGCTTTTAAAATATACAATCTGACCAAGCGCCTAGTAACACTGGCAAATCGGAATTTGTTTGTGAGGGCTGCCACATGTGTCACTTACTACTTAAGTACCCTTACCCTTTTTACCCTTTTATAAGAGAAGACAATGCTACATTTCCTGTATTTCTCTTAATTTTGATTTGGGAATTTCTAAGAAAGATTTCTAATATCTAAAGTTTTCAATGGAAGACGCATTGTAATAATATAATGTTTTGGGATGGCATCTCTCTCGCATCATATTTTACTTTGTAATTATTAATCTCATTTAATCTACACATTCTTATTGATTTCTATTTATAGGTTACTAATATTTTTTGATATTTGATTTTTATCGGTTAAAATATATTTTTATATAGGAGTATTGAAGAAATTATTAAAGTTAAAATCGTTATACTTAGTACTCTAAGCTTTGCTACATTCTGGATTATGTTAACAAATAATATTTTGTCATTGTTATTAAAACACTGTTATTGTTAGTGTACCTATTTATAAAGCAATATACTTACAGGGCAAATGCTAGACTTAGATAACCGAACGAAACATCTATTGTGAGAATTGCAATTTTCTTTTGTTTCTCTTAAGAATACACTGACTGTTGAATTATTCTCGTCTTGACCGATTGTTACACAAATATGATTATCTTCGTCTTGGATATTACTGAAATAACGTAAATTTTATATAAACGTTTTTATTTTAAATAAAAATACCAAAGAAAAAGTAATAAAAACTTACGCTGATGTAACAATCATAGGTTTTACCATAGTCGAGTAAAATGCTGGCTCTTTTATTTTTAATAGAATTACTTTGCTACGATAGAGTTCCGTTTTTGAGATCACTTCATATATTTGTTCATATGGCCCATTCGTTGCATTTAAAGTTCTATGGGATCCAAGTATAACTGAAATATGCTGTTGTTCTAATCTAAAAATGAAATAAATGGTTTAATCAATATGTATTAAAATATAGTATCAAATAAATAATGTACACGATAAGATATTCGTCATTGGTTCTTATGACAAATTTTGTAAGAAATAATATTAAATCTGCTTTTAATATACTTACAATGAATCCCAAAGGCAGGAATGACTCACTAAAACCAATAAGGTGTCTACCAATACCCCAGAACATTTATAAAATCCATCTACATAAACTTTGGCTACCCATGGCCAAGTTTGAACTGTAGATGAATCCACTTCTCTGTAAAGGTTTTGGACTACCTCATGGTTGTATAAAGAATAATCACAATATACGTATATAGCCATGCAGGTTCTTGTCACATTAGGTATACACTCTTCTTTAATTAATTGTGGTTCATCGATAACAATATGTCTGGCAACGTTATGTTCGTTATTATTAGCAGCTTTATATGCAAAATGAACGGGCACATCTTTGAGTTCTCTTTTAGTTCGTTTACCAGATGCCAATTTGTAATTTAAATGTTCATTGTTTTTAAGGTTAACATTTTTTACATAAAATCTATTTGCAGAGCTGAAAAGACCAAAATATAGTAACCAGACCAGAAATATTATTTTATTACCGTTATAATAATATCTTCAAAATTCAAATATCAAATTATAAAATACCTGAATCCTAAGTATCTACATATATGTGTTGCTGCTTGTTCTTGTTGTTCATTTGATAAATTATCTTCACAAACAATATGCCAGTCGTTATTATGTTTCTTTGTCAAAAAACCTTCCAAACTAATTTTAGGTCTGTCATCAAATTCATATGATAAATATTTTCCATTCGAAAGAGCGACTGAAAATAAAGTATATTTAGCCATACAAATATATAAAGATGACATATATACAAAATGTAAATTCATATGAAACTTGTCAAACATTTTTGTTACACGATTTATAGTTTATAAAAGATTGGAAGCAATACGATCGAATAAATACAAAAGTTATCTTGGTGACCACTATGTGTGAACACGTTACGTAAAGCCATGGAACTGAATCAGAGAGAGTTCAATTCCTAATAGGTACAATTTAGGAAACGAATTTTTTAAAATGTGATCGAGCCTAGGTGCCCTGGATTGTGCCCATAAATATTTACAGGAATAATTCTGTGATATCGAGTAACGAACATTTGGTACATAAAGTATTACACAGGACACGTATAAGAAATCACAAATCGAAGAAATCATAACTTGAGGACCAAGTAATTGGTGCGATTGTGTAGCTTTCTTAACTTTTTAAACCATATGTCAGGATAAAATGAGTAGCCTACTATTTTTTGTATAATATGTCAATACGAGTAGCTATATTATTTTGCAAATAGCATTCAATTTAGATTACGTAATCTAATACTCACAGCAATCTAATTCGTCTTCGCCTTGAGGACATTGTGATTTGCCATCACATACATTCTTTATGGGTAAACAAATTTTACTTTGTCTACATAAAAATCGATTATCAGCGCAACTATCTGAAATAAAATAATAAAACACATTTTGGTAAAATTAACTATTAAAAAACGTATGTAAACTTTTCTATCTACTTAAGGTTTGTGTTATGGATATGGAATATTGATTTAAAGGTTTATGACTTAAATAATATATAGTAATAACGTAACGTAACATCATTCTAGGAAACTAGACCAGTTCAGACAGTATTCAGAAAAGAAATAGCCTATGGATAGTGTAACATAATGTAAAATTAAGAAAATTTCATTGATAGAGTCGCGTATCATCATGAATTTTATTTAATGCATTGATAATATGAGTATATTATCTAAACGAATAAAAGGTTTTATATTGTGGATTAAAGACATAAATAATATGATAATACAACATAGTAGTGCACTTAAATTGTAGCAGTGTGATGTAGGAAGTGATGATGGAAATGAATTTATCTCCAGAGATTTTTTAAGAAATGGGGAAAATTAACAATGTATAGAACAATTTTAATAAGTTATTAACAGTGTTCAAGTGATTCTCTTTAGACAGAAAACAAGGTTGCGTTTTGGTGTGCATAGTACAGACACATAATACTTAAGTTTTGTGATATTTATGGTGCTGTTCCTGTCTGTAATTTATATTTATGTAAGGTTGTTAAAAGCTAGTAAAAATATTCCACTGAAATTAAAGTACGTGTATTCAATATTTACGAATATGATACTTACAACAATCGATTTCATCTTGGCCATCAGCACAATCAAAAACTCCATCACAAAGAAGTTTTTTATCAAACGTGGAAATATAATCTATGCAAGAGCAATCAAATTCATCTGTACCATCCTCACAATCTGCTTTTTGATCACAACGGTAATGGTATGGTATAATTTGATTTATGCTACAAATTACACAGAAATCTTATAAATATAGTATAAAGTAGTTTAATATTAGTAAAATTAAATTTTGTAACTTTAGAGATTAATATCCTATTTGCTTCGAAAGGAATTCATGTTATCACATAAGACATATGAAGGAGATATACTTACTGACGACATTCAAATTCTTCAGGAATAAGGTGCTTTTTTCTTACTTTCGCTGGATGGATTTCGGACAAAGCCAAACCTTCAATCTTATTACTAATATTAGTATGTTGATTGAGATTAGGAAGAGTTTTTGACGTATTCGAATGAATCGTAATGTTCTTTTCTGAAAATTCTAAATCTTTATTTTTTTGTAATTCTCTATCGGAAATTTCATGTAATGACTGTGCGTGAGTCAAATTTGGGAGAAGTTCTACTATTAAAGATTCTGATTCCAATTCATCGTCTTTTGTATTGTGGTGATGATGATGATGTAATGCGTCGATTTCTGTAATTTTTGTGTTTGGCTTATTTTTATCTGTTAAGGTAATATCTGATTTGTTTACTTCCATTTTATGTATGTTTGTATTCATATCATGTTTTAATTGATCATTTTTTTCAGAAACGGTTGTAACCATAACCATATTAGTGGATAATTCGTTTTGCGGAGTACTTGTAGTAAAATCTTCTTTATTTACTTCTTCATCTAAAACTGTAGCAATTGATTCTAAAGATTCATCAGAAGATGTAGTACTAAATGTCGTTATATCTCCTCTATTAGTACTTTCAATTTCCCTAAATGTAATTTTTTCAGGATTCATAGTTATTTGCTCTTCAGAACTCTCAAAATTTTCTGAGGTTTTAGAAATCGACATTTCCAATGTTGATGCCTCTAAAAAAGATGGATTTGCTTCACGATTTTTGTCATGTTTTTTACTTTCCTTCGTATGGAATAGACTTTCACCCTTTTCTACTTCATCATTAGTATCTATTATATTTTCATTAACAGTCATTCTGCTGAAAAATATGTTTTCGAAAGCTCGGGTTTCTTTACAATTAATTTCATCGTCTCCATTAAGGCAATCAACAATTTTATCGCAAACTCTTTTATTAGGAAGACATTTCAAAATTCCAGATTTGCATCTATACCCTGGACACTCTTGTTTTGGTTGAATTGCAGGTAAAGAAGTTGATACTAAAATTAGACAATATTATATTTATTCAAATATATAAAGTAAATTTTGATTAATTTCATTATATTAAAATATTACTTACAAGTATTACTTCTAATCCATTTAATGAACATACTAACTCTGGTGTAAACGCCAGGTTCATCTTTGCGCGCACAGCCGTCACCGTGACTTACTATTCCAGCTACATACCACTGTTGTGAATTTAAAGGATTTCTACATAGGAGTGGTCCACCGCTGTCTCCCTATACATATATAATATACTTTATATTATTACGTAAGGTATATGCAAAGTTATTTTAAATTTATTTTTAATAGGATTATATAGCTTCACATAGTAAACATATTCCAGTATTTTATCAGTAATGGTGAGAATGAATATGAATGATAATATTATGAATAAATAATATTCGTAGTTTGACAAATTGCAAATTCAATAAAGTTTTGAAGGCAATTGATGTTATAATTAGTTATATTTATTAACTAATTAAATACCTGACAATACATAAATATCTGTCATCATTATCACCACATCAGCATATATATATATATATATATATATATATATATATAATTTCCGGAGGGATGGAAATACACCACTCTTTAAATATGCCAAGTGCCAAATGTTGGAATCATATAAGTATATCAGTAATCGCAGTAATAAATATTAGTAATAGTGTTAAGGATGACAAAACAAACTTTTAGAGAAATATATTAAATAAGCATAAATGTTAATAGTATCTACTACCTAAATTTAATTGGTAATAATAGGTACCCACTTGACAAGCGTCTTTTCCACCTTCAACTGGACCAGCACAAATTTCTCTACCAGCTCTATCTTCTGAGTGTTTACAATTATTCCAAATTGGTACTTCTACTTCTCGCATATGATCAGCTATTAAAAATAAAAATTTGGGTATAATTATATTACACAAAGTTGTAAAATTTTAAGCTATCATAACTAAACATGCTGTAAGCATAATAGTTTATAATTTAAGTAGATAAAGAAAGACATGTAATCTGTATCAATGGAATGGAAACATTGTTAAGTAGGCTTTTAAAGTTGCAATATTTATTTTTGTTCAAGTGAATTGTATTCCTTATTTCTGGACTTAAATTATTATTTTTATTAACTCGTGGTACCTATTTTCAGTTTCGAAAATTTTTATTTCAATATGATTACTAAATTCAATGTAAAACTTACGATCCGGTCCATGTTCTATAGTTGCACCCCAGCCAACAGCAGTGCATACAATTCCTGGTGGTGGGCCCCAAAGCCATTCAGCACCAGCCGTATCTGGCCCAGGCAAGCAGACTGGCCTAACCCATCTGCTGAATTTAATAGTCGTTTCCACCATTAACAAAGACAGATCGTTTTTCATATCCATTTGACTGTAATGTTGATTAACTATGATTTTAGTGATGCGATGATTTTGTTCTTGGGGTGAAAAAGAAAATCGCCTTAGCATACCTACTTGTATCTCAAAGTAATGGTTCCAAAATCTGTAAACAGTACAAACAAGATTATATTACATACTAAAAAAGATTTACTTGATGTGATTTATATATAAGAATATTGATTTGTTAATTCTGTGTATAGACTAGGATAAGACCGTGTTGGATTTAAATGTAGGAAACCACTTCTAGATGGCGTGTCTAGATATAACTTAAATTAGGATTTAAATTAGGTCTTCAGGAACAAACCTGTGAAAACCTTATTCAATACAGAAGTTTTTGCATGAGGCCAGAAGAAACAGATAGACCGACAGATAAAAATCTAAAATTTATTATTTTAGTTTCTATTGCTCTTAAATATCGTTCATATTATTTTTTTCTTAAATATCCCAGATGTATAGATATCATAAATAAAAAAAAAGAGTAAATAAGTTAGGATAAATTAGGAAAGAGGGTAGGTTGCATTATACTCAATAAAGCATTGTTCTATTAAATATTATATCAATGTTTAAATATTATTATTATTATAAAACTTACTCATGAACACAATGAGCAGCTGACATGATCCATTTTTCAGTTATAATAACTCCACCACAATGAAACATTCCATTTCTGTACATTGCTGCCATCCAAGGCCAAGCAGTGGGTTGACTAGGTCTACCACCTACCACCCTACTCTGAGCTCTTTTTTTCCTAATGTTATTAAGTTTATTTTCCTTTTCACTTCTGTTATAATCAAAAATTGGAAAGTTGTTTTTATTTTCCAGGTTAGTATGATTTCTTAAGTGGCCTTTTGATGGATTTTTATAGAAAACGTAAGGATGAGTTTTCAAAAGAAATCGTTTATTTCGACCAAAAAGATGATTTTCTGCAGCAACGTTCTATAAAAAGATTTAAAAAAAATGTGTTTATTATAAAGAAAAACGAAAACGTTATAAGATTGGCTGTCTATCATTTATTTCTTCAAAGGAAAGTTTAATTGCCACAAAAACTGGATTGATGAAACCGTTTTCTGTCACGAAATATCTAATTACGAAATATTCATAATTTTACTTTAGGAAAGATATGATTTTTTGTACATAATGGAGCATATAAATGGAATATACTCTAAATTACTAATCATTTTCAAAAGTTCTTTCATTTATAGAGAACCACATTATCGGCGAGTAACATGTTGAATTTCATTTAAAAAACACAGATTTTCTACCTATTTATCTGTATGAGGCTAGTATTTACTTGGTTATTTAGTATTAATGTATTATTTATTTAGTGATTAAAAACCATAACGATCTCCAGAATGGTGAATTGATTAAAACCGCATTATATCCATTTATTATTTCAAGAATATGATTAAATTACATCAATGATTATTTTTTATTTTCATTATAAAGTAGTAGGTACTTACTTCTTTTATTAACTGTGAATTTGTTAACATTCTCGTTCCGCATAGAAGGTCGGGACAGGTCACATAAATAGCAGATGAATTGAAACATGTTTCGCTTGTATGTATAAAGCCGTCAGGATTTGTATTCAAGTAGTTAACTTTTAATAACGGATCGATTGGCACAATCTGTATAAAAGGAGGCCTGAAGATAAAAAAAAATATAACAATTAAAAAACAAATAATATACGAATTTTAAATGAATGGTAGTAATGTATAGGTACCTAATCACAAGTCCTGTTTCACGACGGCATGCATCGTGTGCCCACATATAGGGATTTTTACACACAGCGTACCAGTTTCCCTTAAAATTCCTGTGTAAAAATCCTTCTGTGTTTGATATTGCAAATACCTAAAAAGATAAAATATATTACGTATAAATTTATTTCAGAAAAAAACAGGATGTTGTAATTTTTGAAGCTTTTGTTTACTGCAGCTTTAGAACCGCACCTATAACAAAAAGGTCGCATAGCATACAAATCACACTCGAATAATTTCTTTCTTTAAGCTCTATGACATGGATTGGCTTTTAAACTTTCTTTTTCAGTCTTATTCAAATGAGTTTGAACGATTGTTTTGTTTGAAGGTTGAATGGTATTTTTGTAGGAAACCGAAAAATTTGGAAGAATAAGTCTTGAGATTGTATAAGAAAATAAGGAATATAAGGATAATAACACTAAATTCGTTCTAGTTTTGTATGTAATGTATGATAATGTGTATAATTTTGATGAATAAATTACATGCGAACTATGTACAAATTATCTCAATACATGTATATGGTATCAATTCAATGTATCATAAAAAAAAATACAAAAAGCAATATTGTTTTAATTCATTTACATTAGTGTATTTAGTTAAACAATAAATGAAGTATGTTAATAGATTGAGAAATTTTTAGTGTATGAGAGAGTATTGATGAGAGATCAAAATGCCAGCAGGTCAAACCATTAATGCACAAATATATAGTTTGCAATAGTTGGTATTAGGTAGAGGTAATAGAAGTGTTCTCGCTTAAAAAGAGAAAAAGAAACGCATGCATTACCGGTTTTTGGTGTAAACTAGGTGAAAGACTATTACAGTCTAGTTCATCTCGACGATTAGGGCAATCTATAATATTATTACATCTTTGATCTTTTGTAAAACAAGAACTTTGTGAGTTAATGTCAACATCTTCACAACTAAACGTATTTTCACTGCAACCTGGAATAGCAAAAATGTTTGCTTCATTCAAATACTAATTTGCAGTAATTATAATATTTTATATAATAATAACGTAATCATCAATAAATAAGTACTCATAGTAAAAGAAGTATAATTCACTTAGCATATTACATTACCAAATAACAAATTTTTATATTACCATAGCATCCCATTTCATCTTCTCCATATGGGCAATCTAAATATCCATCACAGATTCTAGACCTATCTACTCTGAAAATACAACTACATCTTGCTTCATCGCTAACATCCGGACAATCTACATTTCCATCACACCATTGTTTTTCAGTAACACAATCATCTCCATTGTCACACGACATTAATCTGATAGGACATCGTGCTTCGCGAGTGGAGGGAACTGATGATAATTTCACTGAATCTGATTTATTTCTAAAAAAAAAATCAACAAAGAAATTTAATTTTTTGAGAAAAATGTTTTCCGAGTGCAATAGATTGGTCACTAGATTAGTTTGCTTTACTAAATTCAATTATAATATAGTCAAAAAGTATGAGAATACATGAGATATAGAATATGTATGGTATAATAGAATAAATAATGATGTATAAACATAATATTTATTTATCGTACTTAGGGTTAAAATATTTCATAAAGATATCGACGTCTTGGGGGTGAACATTTTGTCTATGAATTTCCACTTCACGGCTCTTATGATAAATATTAGGTGAAACTGGTGGTGGATAACTGAAACAAAATTTATCGAAGATCATCAATATATTTTAATCGAAATTATATAAATTTAATATCGATTACGAAACTCACGGTCATTTTTCCTGAAACATCAATTAACTATTTGACTAAGATAGGTTTTATTCTAATTTCACATTTTATTTATATAAAATGGAATGTGTAATTAGAATTAAAATTAAAATTAGTGATTGTTTGCATTAAATTAAGAAAATAAAGTTTTTTTTTTAATTTGCTTAAAAGCAAAGATTCCATTCCATTACGAGATCTTAAAAGTAATAATTAACAGACCTATGATATAATTGAGCAGGGTGTCCATATTGTGGTGGTATATAACCTTCAGGTGAACCGTATAAACCTGCAATGAGAAATACATCCATAAAATACATTTTTATTATTAAAATATAAGTTTACTAATAATATTCTCTTTTAATATGATCCCCATTTTTAATTGTTGTTATTTTATTGTACCTTGCAAATAAGGATAGTTTTCTTTTAAGAGGCGAGCTAATAAACAAGACTCTGTCAAAGGTACTTGTGGAGGATAGTTTGATTGAGGCACTGCATTTACTTGATATGGATGTATATAAGGCTGTCTGTCTTTATTCATATAAGTTAGATCCACATTAACATTTGATATATCAGGAAGACCATCCATGGGACGTGTTTCTCGTTTCGATATATCTGTCGGTTTATTAAAGTATTCATTATGTTTTAATTTCTCAGATACGTTATTAATATTCATATTTTCTTTATATTTATTATCTTCACTGTTTATTCCTTTATAAGGTTGTGCTTTAGTTATATCATTTATTTTTTCTTTTTTTTGTTTATTACTGCCAGCAAGCAATTTTAGTTTTGTAACGAGGTTTTTGCAAATTTCATTTTTATTTTCTTCGGTGCATTTTACATCGTAGTTTGTTACAATTTCTCTAGCTTTATGTATGTCTATATATTTATATCTATCAGCTTCCTCTGAAGTGTTACTTGATGTGTTATATATAGATGCAAGATTTCTCTTTTTTCTTTTCTGATTTATTTTAGTTGTTTCATTATGGTATCGATAAAATACTCTACCATTATGTTGTTGTATTGTTTGATTTGAAATCTTATTTGATTGACTTATCCATTTAACTGAAACTATTTCAGTTGTAGTCACATTACCTGAAATTATATTTTATGCCAAGTTAATACAAAATTGTGAAAGTATTTTGGTAACATACAGTTAAATGTAAAAATATGTTTACCTGTATTTAATAGTAATATCCTTATAGCTACAAGGATTGCAATTAAACCTAATATAATTAAAATTGTCGGCCATAAACATATTCGTATTCTTGTAAAACGACGACCTAAAAACATCAAAATATTTTAATATTTTATTTTATTGTTATTAAGAAAGTAAAAAAAAAAGTCGTTCGTTAAAAGGTATTCGAGTGTGGCATTCTGTTTTGGCTAGGAATAGTTTGTATGGGAAAAAGAAAAACGGGGGTTTTTACGTTTTCCCGGATATTTTTTCTAATTTATTTACTTAAATCTTTATTATATTAAAACATAAAAATATACAATGACAATTAGAAAAATTAAGTAAAATACAGTAGCATAAAGCATATAGAATATATACGTAAAGGTATAAAAGGCATTTACATTTTATTAGAACCTTTCTCGATTTTCAACAAATATTTAAACAATTTTCGCATTGGTCCAGCCGTTCTTGAGTTTGGAGCTTAGCAACATATTTACCGATTAATGAATCGGTATTAATTATTAATAATACCGATTCATTAATCGGTAATTAATTATTTATATAGACACATAAATAAAACTAATATTAGAGCTCGCTCATTGATATTATATGTGATTAATTCTTTGATAATAATGATTGGAAATTGGTTCTAGATTGATAAAAACACAATTAATAAGATTCAGGTTATGGAATGAGCTCCCTGCCGAGGTTTTTCCAAGAGACTACAGCATGGGGTTCTTCAAAAGGGGGTAAAGAAGTTTCTTCCAGGTTGGCAACGCGCGCGTAATACCTCTGGTATTGCAGGCGTTCATAGGCTACGGTAACCACTTACCGTAGCGTACCGGTGCGCCGTATACTTGTTTGCCACCTCAGTGGTATAAAAAAAAAATGACGACAAAAATATTTACTAATTCGCAGATTATGGCTTATTATAATAAGACTATGACAGCTATTTATGGCAAAAGCTCTATTTCTCTACAATATATTGATGCAAATTTAAAATAATGTGAAAGTCTATATGTGTACCGACTACCACATTCCCGTTATTGATTCAATCTCTATTTTCAGTTATTACAATATTTACTTTCTTTACGGCTATATCCTCTTTCACACAATACTACACGATTAAATTAATACTCACTATTTGTCACCGTTTCCGCAAGAGACATCGGAGGACCTTGTAATTCTTTGTGGTCTTTCTCCGTTTTTATATTTTCCTTCATTCTCTCTAAAATAAAACTGTAATAACATTATAGTAGAAAATATCAGATAATATTGTCTTTCATAACTAACAAATATTATTGTACTTTTTTTATAATATTTATTTAATATTAAACTCAAACTAAGGGAGTTTGTTACCACATGGCGCTATGAAAATTTAACCAATTGTTCTGAAAATAAGTACACATATACTAATTGGGAAGAAGGGCATAGGCCACCATCTATTTTAGGTTCTGGTATTGATTATGCCATCTCTTTCTTTCCGGTGAGTCTTGTAAGAGGCAACTACAACAACTTAATGGTCGAGAGTTGCACAGCAACGTCCCTCTTAAAACCTCGCCAAGGTGGAATTGTGGTAGCCAACTCGTTTGCTAAGCATAACAAGTAGCAAGATGAGTTACTTTATGGCATAGTATAAATTATATATTTTAAATAACATTAAGTCAAAAGTTTCGGAATGATAGGCGTACAAATCGTAGGCAGTTTTTTCTACAAAATATATATTAACGTTTATATTATAATAATCCTATAAAGTACATATAAAAATTACTATGAAATTCAATATCATCAATAATAGCTTATCACACTACGTCGTCTTGGATAGCATGGGTAATTGATATTTAGGTAGGTGTATATTGTCTATTATTGCCAATTACAAGGAGGTGGGTGAATAAACTCACGTCGAAAAATTGATCTTCATCCAATATACTTATGCGGGAAGTGAAATATGCGAGTACATTACTGCCAACCTTAATTTGATATTATTTATGATGTACGCATATTTTTCATTTCCGAATACGCAAATCAATAAAGATATTCTTCTATTTCCGCATGGAATTATGAAAAACCTTTCAAAATGTACATAGGAAGGCAAGACAGTCATGACATTTACATTCAAAAATTTACTAAAACAGTTTTTGTAATGCAGATATGTTCATTGACACAATTATTTTTTAGATTTAATGGAGTTTATGTTAATGGAGAATTAAATTTAGAAATGTAAAATAAAAATAATTACTCAAAAAAAAAAAAAGAAATAAGGAGTGTTTTACATGAAAAATGACTTCAGTTGTGGCAAAACCATTTATTTTGATTTCATAGCTAAACTATTGAGCTGGTTTCGGTAAAATGTATATGAAACCAATCTGCAAGTATATCATTTCAGGTAATAAAAAGAATTTTCCAAATCGGTTTAGAACTGACAGAGTTATAAGGTAACAATCATAAAAAAAACAATTGAAATGTGAATCTCCTTCCTTTTAAAATCGGTTGAAAATTTTAAAACATATAAATATTGCCTAAATAATGTCCTATTTATGCACGTTATTCACCTATTAGGTTTCAATCTATTACATACATGTCTAATAAAATGATAATAAAATATACATAATACAGTAAAACGGTATTCTTTACTTAAAATAATTTGTAACATTTAATAGACACATTTACTATAAAATTAATGTTTACTTATTTTCCATTTATTAGTTGAGTTATATTTAAATGTATGAGAAGACATACAAATTGATGAATATTGTGGCTAAACAAATGTTATTGAGCAGCATTTTTATTCAGGACTCGTCTTTATATATTTGTAATTTTTATTCGGGATTCGTCTTTATGCATTTGTAAATTGGGTTTATGATAATGTTTGATAAAATTATAATATTTTCTGACGTATCACGTTACAAGATGGTATAGATGTCATTGAGAATCGAAACTGAATTATAATAATAATGGGATATTTGTAAATTACAGTGAATATGCTTGTCTTAAACACATATTATATGTACCTATATACGTATTACGTAGGATCATATTTTGTTTAGATCAGTCTACATATGTATGAGCTTAAACAATCGAGTCTCATTTAATGTGGTGTAATCTTCATAGTTGTTAATTGGTAGCGGTTGAACATGCTGCCTCATCTTTCAATGGTTGCGAGTTCGATTCCAGCACAATATTAACATTTGTATTCATGACCATATCTGTTTTTATTACTCTGAGTGTACTCGATAAAATATATTTCCAAAAAAAGTATTAAGTATCACACTTATTTGCCTACAAACCACAGTACAAATTCTACTTAGTTCGGAATTAGACACGTGTAACATAATTAATGTAAGAAAATGACATCGCCACAATTATAAAGTAAAAGTAGTGAGTACTTACAATTATGTGCAATGCAATATAAAAATCACTGGTTCACTTCACAATTGCACATTACGGTAATTATTCCTATAACTTAGTTTGAAGTCTCATTGTCAGCGCGGTGCAGTTGCGACTGGCTCATTTTGCTGATGATCAATGTTTCAATAATGAACTTATTATTTTGTTATGTTATTATTTTTATTATATAAAGACTTGTGTATACAGTTATGCAGTTCTTGTTAAATGTGTTTTTATACATTTAGCAGAAAATGGATAATAATATTAGGAAATTAATCTGAAACAGTAATACAGAATCTAAAATAGTGAATTATAATTGTATGATTTTTAATTTAATTATTTATTATTCAAATACCTACAAGTATATAAAAATTAAAGCCAATGAATATATGAATAAGTTTTGACCATTGATACATTAAAGATACGTAAGTCATCGTTTGCCAACCTCTTGCGATTATTAAAAAAAAATCATATGGCATTTTCATCTTTTTTATTTTCATTTAGAATTTAACAACAAAAGAATGTTTTCAGATTGGTCGAATAGTTTTATTGTATCGTCTATACAAAGGTGACAAGTCAGTTGTAAAAATGGAAATATCTTAGGAAAATTTGCGTATGATAATTTTCTACAACTTTCAAAGGGGATTATCGCGACTTCAGTGCTTTGAGGAGATAACTTCTGTGTTTAGTGATGTAGCGCTATGTCTTAGGACTGTAGCACGGTGGTATTTAGAATTTCAACGTGGGCACTCTAGCCTCAGTGACAAAGCACGTGAAGGTCATCCAAAAACCGCCTTGACGCTATGTGACAAACCGTGAAATAGAGGCAGATCATCCGCCTTACAGCCCTGATTCAACTTTAAGATACGATAAGAACTTTAAGATTTTATTCTAAGATCTAAAATTTAATATACGTAATAAAGACAAAATAATTATAAGAACATATATTAGCCAGTAGCGTTTAAAAGGAAGACAATATCCTATATTTAAATATCTCGTGTCTTTATGAGGTTTAACATCGTAGTCCTCAGGACTGGTACACATGAGGGTACCACCGTTATAATAATATATTCTGTAATGTTTATGTTGTTCAAGTCTAAAGACGATGGTTACCACTTTACATCACGTGAACCGTCAGCTTGATTACTATTGTAAATAAAAAATATACATATATTAATCTTCTTTCATTTGCGTATCATTATGTACATATCCTTACATAAAATCAACGAATCATCACTATTATATTGCCGCGTCGATGACCCGATATTAGTTGCGAAATACACTTTGTTATAACTCTTTCATCAGATTATCATTGTGCTATGTATGTGCACAGGTAATCATTATTTAAATGAACTAAATATTAGGTAGAAATTATTTTGAACATTATTTATAATTTTATTCCAAACACTTTTTTTAAAATACCGGCAACACTTTTGCAATTTCTCTGGTGTTGCGAGTACGACGAGTAGTCAGTTACTATCAAGTAAATCGAAAAGAAAGAATAAATGTCTTTAATCTTGACAAAACAAGAACAAACCTAGGACTGCATCAACCTCTGGCCAGGATTTGTGCGTTATACAATGAAATTAATGCCAAATTACCTGAAATTGATATAGTGTACGATAATTCGAATTCCTACAGGAATAAATTGCTGAAGCACTTTGTACAACAATCTTATGAAAATTAACTCTAATTGTCATAATATATATTTTTTTAATATTTTTTTTAATTTAATTCACTCATAATCTTATTTTCTGATATTGCTCACTAACTTAGATTACATGTTTATTTTTGTTATTTAATTAAATTTCTTACACTGTATAATTATGTTAAAGTGAATGCTGTGAATACCTATAATAGGCATGTGCATTAATATTGTATTGTATTTAATGTTGTTATACCTATATGTTACAATGCAATATGCTGTTGGTGTTCCTTAAATAAATAAATAAACAAAATGAGCACGAAATCAATACCGGAGTAAAATATTTCTTAAATAAATTTTCATTGAAATCATATATCATTTATAATTTGTAAAGCTATCGTGTAACATAGGCACAGTAATACTCGTATAAAAACATAGAGCCGAATTGAGAATATTTATATTCGTCTGATACCAGAATGTTGTCAAAAGGTGTCAAGAATGTTAGGACCCCCTTTCATATACATGAGGGCCACTGACATGAAGTGCCGTTCATTTTTATAATCTAAACATGAATTTGAAAAATATTGTAGTATGGAATTTGATTATAGTCAAACGCTGTCTGGTAGGTCGTTAGCCTTTTTATCATTCTAAGAAATACAGAAATAGATACATTTTTCATGTAGCAGTAGGTATGACACATGTCTCGTCTTGTTACTCATGAGCTATGATAATGTTCACATACTAGGTGGGGCAACTGTCGTATAAAACAAATCAATTAGTGAAAGGTGGGCGTCTCCGTCTAGTACATGTACGTCCATTAGTTAATTGGTTTTGATCCTTTGACATCTCCTTTTAATACAGGTAAAACGCAAAACTAAATCATTGCATATACAGTAAACTAAAACAGTTTACGAAATAAACCTACTGTCCTACTAATAAATACCGATAACCAATGGGAAGAAAGGTTCTCTAGTACCTCGTAAAGGTAAACAAAGTGTAGGACGACCCCTAGTTTGGAGTAACGTCGACTTATAACTCGAGTGGTTATGAAGGTCTATAAGTAGGACTATTATAAGTAGGATGTTTTATAAAAAATTTTATTTTTACAACTTATGTTTATTTTTATTTATAAACGGCAAAACACAGTGAGTTTGTTAATTTTCTGTTATATATATTTATAAAGATAAATGAAATGTTTGTAACTCAATTACGCTTAAATGACGGAACATTTTTTTATAAATCATTTGTATGGATAAACCATATTCTGAATTTATACGTAGATATTTTAAATAATAATTTATGTGCACAAAATCAATGAATATATATTTAACTACATTCGTATACTTACATGTTAAAATAATGTCATAATAACTGGTGTGCGAGTTATAGGTATTTTAATTAGTGTTGGCAATTTTCAATTAACGTGGGGGTAATCCCTTAAGAAACCTTTAATTACACTAGTTTACAAAATAAAAAAAAAATGACCTTCCAGTCAATTTTATATTGATTTATTCAGTGTCAATAACTAAATGGAAAGACATATTTTTTTCATTTTATCACGTTTAATACTAAAGTTATTATCACATTTTAATTTCGGGCTACCCACAAGTTGATGAATTTCTTTTAGAATTTTCATGCGGTTTAGTTAAATTAATATTTGTTTTCAAAACATCAAAAAGGTTATGTAAAGTACATCTAGAGCGTTTCTGTTACGTTTATGGTGAACTTATTTTATCTAAGAAAGGATATCACATGATAGAATCCCTCAATCAAACGTATATTTCAAAATAACGTTGTCTCACCAAGATAAAAAATGAGCGCCCGCACGTATTTTGCAAGAGATGTAGAAGAAAGCTAAGCTTCCGGGTTTTTTTTTATACAACTTAGAATGGCAAACAAGCTAACGGCCCACCTGATGGAAAGTGGTAACCGTCGCCTATAAACATGAGCAGTACCATGGACGTAACAGAGTATACTGTTTCGCCCATGATACCCCTCATGCGTTGCCATTCCTGAGGACTCAGTTGTTATTCCTCCGTACCCAGTAAATTCACGCCATATCCTACCCTTCAAACTAAAATACAGCTATGCAAACACAACTGCTTTACGGTTGAAACACGAATGGGACAGAGGTACCCAAGCAAGAGAGTCCAAAAAAGAGAGTCGAGACACAGATACAAATAAATACAAGAAAAAAAACTAAGGCAATTAATTTTTAATTTTTTTAATTATTTTAGTAGACTTTTTTTGTAAATTAAAAAGCAATAAATATTTTAGAAATATGACGTGTTGGATTTTTTTCATAATTTTTTGCAAACTTAGCACCTCAATAATTAAGAAAAAATACTTTTTATTTCAAGAACAAAAACTATACAAACCAGTATTAAGTTATATTAATTCTACTATCTAAGTAATAAAATAATTTGAAAGTTCGTGAACACACTTGGATGTTTGTTATTAAATCACGCTGTAACAGCTGAACGGATTTGAATAAAATGAAAGGTACAAACGTAGGACGTAACCAGAATTAACACATCTAAAGATATTTCATCCCAATTCACATAGACAAAGCTGTAAATAATACCATCTACTGATTACACAATTGCATTAAATCTACGGATATGTATCTGTATAGACTAATACGAGTATATTATTGCTATATTACATAATATAAAAATTGTTTTATAACATTAATTGTTTTAATTTATTGACACTCTTATAGGAATAAAATCATACCGTGAAGATTAATTGATTTGAATCATAATTCCAAACATTCAATTAATCTTACGATTAAGGAACGATCAACATTAATAAATTGGCCTAAAAAGTGGCTAATAATCGATTATCAGTTTATTGCTGATTAGACACGGTATTTTGTGCCTATTTTTATCACGCAAGTATTTGTTTTTTTTTTATTTATTTATTAAAAGATATGATATCAAAGCAAAGAGCACCTGCTTAACTTTTGGGATAATTGGGGTACAGGATATCATTAGCGTATCCACAACCAAAATACTAAATAAGCGATTCGAATAACATCACGAAAAGCACAATTGTGAATGAAGAATTAAAATAAGATATTAAATATGTAAATTAGATTTAAATATATAAATTATATACCCCTACTTTTTGAGTTTTTAGTACACTACATTTCATAAATTTGGTCTGTATTAATTGAAAAATAGGTAACATTGTTTGACATATTGTCATTTATTTGAAATATATTATTATTAAAATTAAATCGTTTGTAAACGTACATAAAAATTACAACTTATTTAGTTAACAAGTTTATTTACACATAATGCATTGACGGTTTTTGAGGTCTTCTCACGCTGACGTGACTATTTCCTTCGAAAAGACAACAAACTTCGGTTTGTAACATAATTATCTAGCATGATATAAGGCCTCGCCCTTACTTATTATTGAGATACCATGCTATATAAAATTAAAACATTAAAAAATATACATATAAAGACACAGCATACGTGGTATCCTTGACGTGTCAGACGCTCTACGTTAGATTATGTAAACGGTTCAGAACCAGATGGGTTATATTATCGTTTACTATCTTTACGTTGTAAAAAATATATCTAATAAAAAGTTCTTAGTGCTTATCACATACGGAATTCAGTATATACATAGATAGATCGTCGGTCAAGATATAATTATTCAATGGGTCATTTCAGGCTGAAAGTTTGATTAGTTTGAATTGAGGTAGTAGGTACATATAAATCTAACTCTCGGGTTGTGGCCACCCACATCAATGGAAATTTAGTTCCTTTTGTTCTAACCCTTCAATACAAATTTATCTATATCATAATAAAATTGTAAGGATTGAAGAGATTGTACTTTGAGTTTTTCGCGATAATAGACAGACTATGCTAAATAAACAACGAAATACAAACAGTTCCTTTTGAGATGTTAGTTCTCCCATTATACTTAAAACATACACATGTAAAATTATGTTGCCACAGACAGAACAAAGATATTTTACCAATTTAATTATCTCGGTTTATTTGGGTTTACAATCTGGATCATAATAGATTTAGGGATACTTTTTCTTCCCTTAATCTACAGGTACATTCATTAATACTTGCAGTTATATATTATGCTATTTTGCTATAATATGCTATTTTGTCATGGATAGTGAATTGATATAGCGATAAAGTTTTTTATGTTTTGTATATGGTAACCTCTGTCTGTTGATAGAGTATTTATAGTGTAACAGACTTTTCATTTATTTTGTTACAGAAATATACTAAAATCATGTTTTCTTTTTTTTTAATATAGATTTGTTTTAGAATAACTTAAAAAGTTTTAATAAAAAATAATCTTACAATTACACCATTGTTTGCATTGTTTGCAAATTAGAACACCGTGTCCAGGCAAAATTAGGCAACCAGGATCAACTCAGAATACCAAGACCTGAATTAGCTAATAAAATTACGAATAAAGAATAACTTAGAAAAGGTATTTCTCAAAATAGACCCGACCAAGAATTAAGCCCGATACTTCATTAATGCAAAACACGAGTTGAAATAGGTTGACCATGATTAATAATTTTAAGTTTTCATTTAATTTTTATAAGTCGGAAATATTTATAAAATAATAAAAAAAGTATAAATCATAAAAGTATAATAGTATAAATTTTATTATTTTGATATAAAATATTTAGTATTTATGAAAAATTCCGAATCCATATAAATATTAAATACAAAAATAATATTTACATTTTTAAGTAAAATACAGCCTGTGAAATAGTATATATACATTTCATAAAACGTGGGTCAAAGCTATTTTATAAGGTTGAAGCATCTCAAATAGCTACTCAGGATACAGCAAAGATAATTTGCATTACAAAGGTCCCTTTCGGTCATCCAGTATATTATTAGAAACAAAATTGATTGCGATAAGCCGAGGAAAATCTCTGATGCATACATGTATTATGTATACAAATAAACCAAAAGGCGTCCTTCCAATAAAAATGGTAACATCGCAATTTCCTGTCATGTTTTGTGTTTTTCAATAAACTTTAATTAGAATAGATAAAATTCTCAATTCCTTTTTTTCTGTGCGTGTAATAATGTGCCGCTGTGTGGTCCTGGTACAGAAAACCCTTCCTTTCCCGTGGGTGTCGTAAGAGGCGACTAAGGAAGGGCGAGGAATGGGCAGCAGCATCCCTATTAAAGCGTCTCCAAAGCCTAACTGCGGTTGTCAAAACGGCTGCCAAGCGTGGCAACTACTGGCAAAACCACCCTTAGGATTAAGATGACTAATCTGATATATATATTGAGTAACTTTCACCAATTCAAAAACAATATTTTTGCATTCGATATTGATTATTCTTAGATTGGTCACCGAATAAAATCGGTTGTTAAAGATATTTTGCATTGCATCTTTATTAATTTATACAATCTGGAATCGTAATATATAGAAATATATTGTGAGAGAAAATGATGTCAATACAATAATATATAATTAGATACAATAATAAATAAGTATATGACACTGTCACGGCACTATTGCTTAGGTAAAACGTAGTAACATGGATATTCATTAACATGATTTGGTTTGCATTCGCCTGGAAAATTAACCGCTTTCCACCCGCGCATTGGACATAAAACCTATGGGCTAGAACGAGGATTTTCTATTCGTTGATTAACCTTGACAGTGCTTGGGTGATGTGACTAATTTTTCGACTTGTATATGTGTTTAGTTATTTTATTTGTAAGTGATACTTTGTATTAATATATAATCTTAATTTACTAAAATTACATTTAAATTGTAATGTAGAAGAAATATAACTTTAATTTAGTATATCTCATTACATTTTTGATAATTTTTTAGTGTAGAAGGTGCGGGTTTAAAACCGCATCCGCCGTTATGATTTTTTATAATATTTCTAATTGATATTATTTATCTAAGACTTAAAAAGCATTATCTTACGTATTTTTTGTTTAAATACTGCATATGCAAATATATCTTTTAATTATAAACTTATTTAGTTTAAACGTTTTATTCACACTTATTCGCTGACTTTGTGCACCGTAAAATAATTTACATCATAGTTAACTAAAATTATGACTTTGAATAACGAAGGAGATGAAAGATTTTGAAAGGATTAAATTTCTACAAACGAGTTCCCGTAGTGGGTACTATGTAGTTTAATAGAAAGTTTCTCTCAAGTTAAAGACATCGAATAATCATGTCTTGTATTCAGAGTTTGCCCATTACAAAGTTGTATTCTTGCTTCATTTGAGAAAATTTTCAAATTGTTAGAACCAGTTACAATAGTGACTGATTTAGTTATTTATCTTTCAAGAAATTTTATTGAATTATGAAAATTCAATATAATATAAAATTCTTTTGTAAAATTACAGAATGTTTATGTTAAATTTTATGCAGTAACAACTTATGACAATTGCGTCATTTGCTGGCATTAAATTAAGTTGAATATTGATATACTTATATAAATTCAAGAACAAGGCAATAATGTAATATACACGTAGTCTGAAAGTCGCTTCATGGTTTAATGTTCTAAGTCTTTTTCCAAAAACCTAAGATAATTTAAGTTACGATATGACTAAATTACTTCTTGTTACAGATGCATCTATAGCATGAAGCTATGGAACAGATGAAGATTGAATAAAAAATATTACGTCACAATACAATCAAAACCCGATATGAAAGTTGCAGTGATATCATATTTCATTCTGGCCATAATTTCCTGCTGCCATGGCAACCAGAAAGATGATCCCGATGCATATTTGAGCCGTTTCATTGCTGACTTGTGGCTGGAAGGCGCTGATGTAATACGAATTATATGGAGAGATTGTTCTAAAAAAGTATGAATTTAATTTATAATTACAGTAATTATTTAATTTTTAATTTTATATTAATGCATTGTAATTATTTGGGGTTAACTGTTTAAAATGCAACTTTATTTAGGTTTGTCATATTTATTTATTTAATTATTATTTATCCTACATATTAATCGTAAATACATAAATAGTTGTTTCTAAATAAACTAAGTTTATTTAGAAACAACTAAAATATAATTATATTTATTTGTATTAGCATAAAGAAGATTTATTTGATATAGAATTCTACACTTAGAATGTGAGCTCAACGGATTTTGAGCGTCAATTTTGTGTGTAGATCGGAATTCAATATAAAAAAGAAAATTTTCAATACTTCAAGGAAGGGAGTTATATATTGATAGTTTTCAATTAAAATTAAAATAACAAATACACAAAGTTCATTACGTATTTGTAAACATTAAAGCTATTTATTCCAACGTTTCCATTCCATTAAGGATCTGGGCAATGTCCTCTTCGTGTTGATATTGGGCATAAGAGCCTTAATCTCTTTATTGCGAGCTGTCTACTTAATCGGCTTTGCGAACTCCAATGTTTGCTTCTGTAGCTATTAGATATTGAGGTTCAATAGTAAATATCTACCGATCCTTTTAGGATTTGTATCTATAGCCAATTACATAGAAACTTTAACGTTAATCACGATTATATTTATTTCAAATTATTTCTGAAAGAAAACTTTAACTCTTTTTTTAGTAAGTATTGGTAGTCACACTTATACTAATGGCAGCGAAATTAAACAAAATAATTTTAAATAACTGGTTAGTGATATGGACTTGCGCAAAGTAACATATAGTTCAATAAAATATTTAGAAAACTTTTATTTATGAAAGAATATTGTAATAAAAATCTACGCTTGCAGGCAGATTGGAGATTTATTATTTATTTAAAAATAGCGTTCTCAATTATAAATATTTTAAACTACAGCAGAAAAATTGCTCTGTTACAATTTATAAGAATTCTGAAAACAGAAACTATTTAGTTGACTTCGCAATTTTGCATCTCCATAACTGTGTAGGAAGATAGTAGATATTTTCATAATGTATATTTTGTTATTTGCATGATAATAGGGAGAGAATATTATTCGACGGTAAAAGGACAGATGATGCGTCTCTATGATAATAATTTATATTCATATTTACAGCTAGTCGAAGTAAAAGATGTTATCGACCATAAGGAATACTTTCCAAAATTCATTAGGTGTATGAAGAGGAAGACATTACGAGCTTTGGATCGCTCATTGACTCCTGACATTGTACCTATAGCTGAGGGAGTCAATTTGGTACGATTTGAGCTTGTTGACCGATCCGGTAACATTATGGCTGAAAATGACACGAGGTAAGATTACTAGTCTATTTAAAATAAATTGTTGGCACTATTTTTTTGTTTACTAACTATATGCCATGGCTTTTTCCGAGTAAGTACATAAAGAGTCCTATATGTCAAGTAAGTATATAACCTAGATAGGTTATATATTTACTTGACACAAAGGACTTTTTTTATATATCAGTAATTTTATATTCGATTTGATATATGTTTTTTGACATACTTTTCTCTATACGTTTAAATCTAATAAGTTTACGTGACGTAAACGGTGTTATTATTCTCCAGTCACACTACCCATTTACTAAATTTTATTGAAACCCATTTAATTTTGTTTGTTATTATAAATTAATAACGTTTAAAACTGCTCTATACTAATAACAAATTTGCAAACAATGGTAAATTTCATATCTAGGCCAACGAAACTGAATTTCGTCCAATAATTATTATATAGTATTATACAAATTATTGCATATTTCAAATACAGAAATGATTAGGTTTCATTAATAATTTTATCAAGTAGATACCTACTACAGTACTGTACAGATTAACGATGAAGAAAACGGTTATCCAGCTTTAGAATTATTGTAATTTTTTAAATTTTTTAGTAATAAATTGAGTAATTTATAGAAATTGTTGTTTGCATACGCTATAACGTTACGTTGATAGCAAGCAACCAAGTCTTGTAGCAATTGATCTGTGTAAAATTTGTTCTCATTTTATGTACAATGGTTTTATTAATACATAAAATACTTTTTATTATAATTCATGCGGACAAAATCGCGTGTTATATTCAGTTAAGTACAGCTTCAAGAAAAACAGCTAATCTTTTGAAAAAAGGCCAGGAAGTATAATTTTTAATATGCCGATATGTGTCTAAGAACAATCTTCCACGACTACAAACTTACCTATATAAATTCCAGTTTTATCTGAAGGATCGTAAATTACGTACGAGATATGCACATATGAACATTATAAGAAAATATTTGTAAGTAAACCTGAAGTAAGGGTGACATACGCAGGTATTTTTGTGCGGCTTATTTTTATTATATAATTTAATATAGTACTTTGTAGTCAGTGGATGTAGTCAGAAGCATAGATAATACTACTATCTTCCTGCTCTCTACTACGTTCCTTCTTTAATTCAGAGGTATTAGCCAGTGAATGTAGCACTTGACATGTCGACATTTCCGTGTACTTATTAGAATCCAATGTGACAAGGGCGAGCCTACCGTCGTCTCTCTGATTAATTTGGTTTGTTAATGGTGTTTTCTCTCACCTAGGAGTCAGTGGAAAACATAAATTAACACGCAAACTTTTTTGTTATTGGCCAGATCGAATTCGCTCTTTATGGTGTGTAAATCTGAGTAGTAGTAGTGATGCTATCTATGTCTCTTTGTAATTAATTTTTTTTTGTAACTGATTAAAATAATACACTTAATGAAATATTATTACTTGACTGTAACCCATGGCTTGAACAATATCAATTAGAATAAAAACAACTACGATTATAATCTATATGTGTACCTCCTATATTTTGTTCCATTCATCCATTTAGGCATAAGTGAATAACAAATATATACATATTACAATATTTTTTTCATAATTAATAATATATAAGTACAAATTTATTAAATTATATTTATATATGCTAATATCTTTTGCAATTTTTATTTTACCAATATAGATTTATATGAATCTAAGTAATTAAATTAAAATTTATTACCCTTTTCTAACAACAAAAACCCTATATTACACAAGAAAGAACAGAGCAATGTTTTCTGTCCAGTATAAACATAGATTATACTGTGATATACGACATCATTGCCATAGTTCAGAGGTTACGTATTTGCTTTCGCATTCTAACGTGACATCAACAACGACATTGCATTTCGCAATAAGATTTTATTGTCACCCATTGGAACTAAATCATCACATTTCTTGTTTAAGTCACTGAATTTATTTTTAAGTACCTTTAAAAATTAAGATTCTTATTATACATGTATGCTTTGTTACACATTGTGTTATATATTCCCATATTCGATATTTTCATGATCTTGTTGAGTAAATCTTGATTAATTATATCGCAATTAAATGTCTTAAAATTAAAGTATCTCATTTAACCTAAGGAATCGTCTATTTGTGCCTTAAATTTTATTCTAATTATTTTTTTCATTTATGTAATACATGTATATAATATTATACTATACTAATATTGCTTCATGGTAGTTACAATACATTATATCCATCTTTTACGTATGACACTAACAAGAGGGATATATTTTAGTCATTGTGTATATAAGTTTATATTAATTATAAGACATATAATATGTTACATAAGTAATATATATATTATTAATAGTTCATGGACAGATAAAGAGCTTGAGGAAGAAGAATGGAGAACTTTAGCTCTTCGACGCATGGCTAAAGTGCTACGAACTCACGTCATAAAATTTGACTTTGAAAACGAGAAATCTATTGAAAGCGGACTATCAGGTACTAAATAGTTATATCGTAGATTAAAATAAAATGAATTATATAGTATATAAATTTCATCAAACAGTGATATAATACAAAATTTCAAATTCAAAAAAGGAGGTTCTAAATGAGGATACAAATTCTGTCATGTCAAAGTTGTATTTTGTTGAATAAAATATCAAAATATATCCATACTAGCTTTTACTCGAGACTGCGCCCACGTGAGCGGGATATGTTCAGTGATCGGAATAAGAAATAGCTGATGTCCTCCGTCCCTTATAGTATCTGTATACCAAATTTCATACTGATTAGTTTAGCTATTCAGGCGCTAAAAGGTAACAAACAAATTTACTTTCACATTTATAATATTAAGTAAGGAGAAGGATGATAATACAATAACTAAATATCAATAAGATGATATGGTTTGCCTAAGTGCTGCACAATCTTTCTATTACTATTATTATTTACTATGTATAAATGGCGACTCATAAAGGCTATCGTCAACACTGTGACATCTATGATATTCATGGTACTGTTCATGTTTATAGGCGATTGTTACAACTTTTCATCGTTTACCGTTAGCGTGTTTGCCATTCTGAGTTGTGTAAAAAAACTACAGGAAAGTTATGAATTTTTTGTAACGTTTTAGTTGAATATCGGGGCAGACGACGACATCAAATGATGACAATGATGATGTTCGGTATAGTGTCAATTGGAATGGTTTTAATACCAATGGGCTTCCAGTTCTTGGCCGTTCTTGGCGGAAAGGCACTGCTCTTAGCTAAAATGGCGCTCATTCTGGCTTCTATTCAAGGACTTAAAAAGGTGAGCTTTGTTTATACATTTAAAACACTAATACGTGTCTAGTTTGATAATCTTCTGTATTATTTTTATTTATTTGTAAATATAATTATAGCCGATAGGATTTATTTTTAGTTATCAAATTACGTTTAACGTACTTTCGAAATTTATATCAATCTGGACGATATATACACTACAGTAGCTTATTTAATTAAGACATGCATCTATATAATATAATGTATTATATCTTATCATAAGAAGCTGATCACTTATAGTTCATATATATTTGAACAACATTCGTTCGAAATAATGTTTCTCACGAACTATAATTTGTTATAATCTAAAAAACTTTATTACTAACTACTTACACAACTAAATATTTATTACCTTATAATGACGTTCTCTTTTAGGTAGACAATAATAACGATGGGTATCATGAAAGGGGAAAGGTATGACATGATAATAATATTTACTTATAAATAATCTACTAACTTTTAACTCGTATCTTTTATAATAAACTATATCGTAATAACTTGGATAAATTGACGCTTTTTTCCCCATGTACAATACCCATAATCCGCGGCTATATCTTGGTGAATTAAGATAAAAATTTCCTGTAATATATCTCACATTAAGAGTCTAGTTGTAATGTTTTGATTGAATAATGTTTGGCTGTTAAAGCGTATTGCGTGTCTATTTAAATAACAGACATGAAAATATTTTCACAAGATAATATTATAAAATTGATGGAACATTATTATAATAAAAATAAATAAATGAGAGTGTAAAGTACATTTATAGGTTGACAAGTAGAAAATACTACTAGCATTAAGCTCGCCTTTTATACCTTATTTTCATTTGGTCAATAAAATTATTTAAATAAATAAATTTATGAGAAGAGAAAATTAAAGAGAAAAATGAAATGAGAAAGAAATAAACAAATGAGTTGATAAATAATATTATAATGTAATTTGTCAAGACGATTTCACATTTTAAATTACATAGTAGATATTATTTTTTAGAGGAAAACAAATTAAGATCTATAAATATTGCGCTCAAGGAAAAATATAAAAGTTTAAAGCCCCTGGCAAGTACATATAATTATAACACCCACGTACAAAAAATATATTTTAATGAATTGTAACGAATCTCTTCATAATCAACTGAATGTAACTAAATAAGATGTCTGACAAAACAAATTATTTCTATACTTAGCATCGTTATATTATAGAGACAACAAACATTATGATAAAAGTTACTGACTTTTTGTTCGTGGGTGTGTTACAATATTCTATCAACACATTTATCACACTGTTTGACACTTCCAGTAAATGCCTACCTACCTGCCGTGCCTCCATTGTTAAGGTCAAATATATAGATACGAGTACTTATTTTATCCAAAGTAAGCGTCAATTTGTCTATCGTTATAATGATGGTATATTGATAAAACAATAGCACCAACTCCGCTTTTGCGCACTTAATAAAAGTCATATTGATAACCCGTTAACAGATGTTCTGTTCCAGATTGCTTCAAGTCCGGTGAATTATGGCTTCTATCATTCATATCATCCATACGATTACTACGAAAAACGAAGTCGAGACAATTGGCCACCACCTGCTATCATGCCTGGAACTCCACCTCCAGCACTATCAGTAACTCAGTGGCCCTTAGATTCTGGAGTCGTTAAAATTGATAGAACAGCTTTAGCAGACACAACAGAAGTCGTACAAGATAAAAAGGACGACGTCATAACTTGGAAGCCCGAACTAATCAAAACAACTAAGGGGGAAATAGAACCAAGGTTATATCCAGTGTATACAGCATCCCAAACTCCATCTGTCTTTACTGCAATTGATTCTCCTGGCTCTCTTATAGATCTAACAACAAGACCGGGTGAAGTCCAAGCTGATTATACTATAGATTTACCCTATAATGGATTTCGTTTTCAAACTCCCACTACTGTCATTTCAGCTTGATGTATTTGTACAACTATTTAGGGCATTGTTCGATATAGTTGTTAATATTTACTCTTATTTAGCGCAGGTGCTATATCCAAAGAGACATGTTTTTTATTCTACATATGGATAATTTAGCGGAAAAGAAATAATTACAAAAATTTAAATTTCTTAAGAAATTAAATGTATTCAATATAGTTCATTATAAATTTGTTTAAGACAATATTAAAAAAAGATTGTTGTAACTACTGTTACATTAACTATTTCTACCGCTATTGTATGTTTGGTTATAATCTGGTATTTACTTTGGTATTCTATAATTTAGTTGTCAATTATTTTCAGGTAGAATTTAGTATAAAACTTCAAACAACAAGTAGTTACTATATTATTTTGTATTATAGGTATATTAAATAAAAATATGGAAAATGATTGAGTAGTATTTTTGCTTATTATCATATAATTTTTCTTTTGTATGATTTATTATCTTTGGTGACTGTTTGGTGGTTATTTGTGACCAATCTCGCATTAATATAATGTAGATGAATAAAATTGCAAAGTAATAATTGGACAAATTTTTAAACTGTTTTGAAGTCAGTTTCAGAAATTGAACGTAGTTTTATTTCTACTCATATTAAAATACCTGCGAGTCATTTTTTCTTTACAATGTCTGTCCTTTATTTTCTTAACAATTTCATATCCGTAACAATTTCATATAATATTTTGTGCAAACATGATAATATTGTTTGTACTCGAATGAGTAACAATAAGATAGCTTATACTATTTTTGGAATTTAAGAGTGGTCTAATAAAAAAAAAAAATTAAAAATACCTATTGGAGAATAAATGAATTGCTAATTTTAGATGCAAACTTTTAGCGTTTTGAGGTTCTAATTAATGTAGGTGCACGTACACAAAGTCACTAGACTTATTGTCTTCAAGAAATTTTACCCATAGTATTTTGAATTCTTATTTATTGAACAATTGCAAGTTAACCTATTTTAGACTTTAAAAGTAAATACATAGAAAATATGTTATATAACATTATAAAATAGACATATCGGCATAATAATTCACGTACGAACAAATTTATAATGACACCGTTGTTTTGCATTATTAAGGATTAAATTACAAAATGCTTTTAGGTATTTTTGCTGTAATAAATATTTTACAGATCTCTTTTTTTTTTTTTTTTTTTTTTTTTTTTTTTTTTTTTTTTTTTTTTTTTTTTTTTTTTTTTTTTTTTTATACAACTTAGAATTGCAAACAAGCTGACGGCCCACCTGATGGAAAGTGGTAACCGTCGCCTATAAACATAAGCAGTACCATGGACATAACAGAATATACTGTTTCGCCCATGATACCCCCCCATGCGTTGCCATTCCTGAGGACTCAGGTGTTATTCCTCTGTACCCAGTAAATTCACGCTTAATTCTCTTATTTACTTGCGATTTTATTTAGTTTATTATTGTAATAAACAATGAGTTCAATTTTAAAATAGCATTAAAAATATATAGGTATATATATTTTTTTCAAATAATTCGTTTCTATATACCTGCGTAATATGATGCCGACTTCGCAGTGTTAAACAATTATGACTGGGGGGAAAGGGATTGTTAGTAATGGAGACTAAAAATCCCATTGCTAGCAATATACCCAACCAGGTCGACCTCCTCGTGGTTCCCCCTGGAAACTATCATGGTTAATTCTTGATGAATTCATCATGATGGGCTAACTGGCCTGTTTTCATTCTCATCTATCACCCTTCACTGGTGCTCCGCCAGCGTATCCCGTTAGCGCAGGCGGGGTTACTATACCATTTTCACCCATAAAAAAAAAACAATTATGACTAAACATCATAATTAGGCCTCATTATATATAAATATATAATTATGTAATTTCGATTTATTTATAGTATAAGGACTTAATGAAAAAATGGGTATGGGTATAAATAGAGCATCCCAACTTTCGCATAAAGTGAGATTCCGCAGCCGAATAAAGAAAAATTCCGATAATCTTATTAGTATTTCAAACAGGGTCCTTTGTCAATGTGTCTTTGTAGTACCAGTATATTTATTAATAATGTAATAATGCCATGTAGAATTCTGGAGTATTTTGTAACAAAGTTCGAGAGTAGAACGACATTATTAATTAGCTCAATATGTGTGTATTGTACTATAAATTTTACATATATGTTTTTAAATTAAAATTTGTAGTTGAAGTTTATTTTTATGATCCTTAAAGTCGTCATCCGGTAAACATCAGTGGCCTTGTGTATAACCAAAGCCACTTAGATACTCCTAACACCAATGGGCGATATCCTTTTATAGATAGATATATTTTAAGATTATTAAAAATCACTTGAGGCATTGAAAGCATATAAAAGAACCAATATAATAGCATAGAGGGCAATATCTAAGTCGCATAAAAGACTGCCTTAGCGCTATACTGAAGTGGTCTTTTCGATAGTTGATGGCAGATTTAGGATGCGCTTACTACTCTCGGCATGTCAAACAATCTATATATGATCATAATACTACACATACTTTATCCCTGTGTCAGATTTGTAAATAAAAGTTTATTTCACAAAATTATATTATTGTATTTTTAAATATGCTTACTTCAGAGGCATGTTTTACTGTTATGGCAAACATACTATTATATGTACTACGTTTACGTTATATCAGGTATGTCAGGTCGAGTGTTATATGAACATAACATAGCACTCGACAAACTTACATTTCATTGACTATATTTGAGTCCAATGTATGTGGAGGTAAACCCACTGCTATCTTTAGAATCAATTTCATTTATTGACTTATATTATTTGGTGTCGTTTTTATTTGAACTTGTAACCTTTGAGAGTTATATTGGGTTAATTTTTTTATTTAATTCGTGCTTATCTCTGAATCCGCCCAATCGTTTTAAAAAAAAAATTATAAATGTGTATTGTTGTTTTGTGAGATAGGGTACTTTTTATCTCAAGAAGAAAAAATTAACCTGCGGCGGTTTAGTTATCATCATCATGTCAATCACCAAAACTATTGATAACTTTGTTCACCGATGAACAAAGGCCTCTGCGGGGGTGCGGGTGGAGTGGGGGGGGTGTTTGCCAATTTGGATTTTGGATGGTTTAGTGTCATGAATGTGTGTTTAGTGTTAAAAATTTGCCATGTTGGTGGGTGTGTCTCTTAAATAAAAACAGTTCTTTTCAGTTTTGAGCTAGATGTTATTGTAGATAAATATATAATAGTTCTAGACTTATTAAAATTGTAACAGATTTATCTACAATATATATAATATATTATTAGATAGTTATGTTATAATATATAATTATAAGAATAATTTTACAGATTATGTGGGAGTATTATTTCCAAACCGATACGGTATCATAACCTTCAAGAAAAGAGCATATTCCTTTTTAAAAAGCCGGCAGCACACCTGCAATGCCGTCGGTGTTGTGGGTGATCATGGGCGGTGGTAGTTACTTACCATCAGATGAGCCTCATGCTCGTTTGCCATGTTTTTTGTGTTGTAAAAAAAAATTTTGGAATTGTTATATTTTATAAAATTTCTATGGAAACAATTTGTAAATATGTCTTTAAGATAAAACAAGAATTTTCCAGATGGATTTAAAAGCGACAGATTTACGAGGTAATAAACATAAAAAATGCGACTAATTTAGGAACCTCCTTCTTTTGTGTCAAAAAGAATTAATTGATAATGTATCATTATTTGTCATGCAATTGTTTTAAAATAATTATTCTTTATACTTAAATAAATATTTGAGTTACTTTATAGATAATACTAACCTTATGATAATAACTAAATATTTTTTGTAAGGAAATATGTTATTACCAAAATTAAATATGTGTGCCCTCCAAAAATGTAGGCCAACGGAATGATTCGCCAAGGCACATCTACTAACGACAAGATAACGTCAGTTGTTTTTCTCATTTAGGTACTTCTCATAATATGAACCTGTTACAAGTTTATATGCACAATGATAGTAAAAATTTAATAATAACGATTCTACTATAGTATATGAAATAAAACGCAGTTTATATACTTTTTAAATAAAATTTAAAAAAAATATTAACAAATTAGAGGTTTTGAATTAGGTGTACGATAACATTTAGAAAAACGCTAGGATGAGGAAAAATAATTCTAATAAGTAAAAACTTTAATTATTTTATTTATATATACTATTTAAAGAGAGCTAATTAAAAATATCGGAAACTGATGAACTCATTTTATTTATTTTATTCAATTTCTAATTGCTAATAAGTTGATGGCTAACATGATGAAAAGTGGTAACCGTCGCATAAAGATACGAACAGTACCATGATTATAATAGAGTATACTGTGCCGCTCATGATAACCTGTAAATTCATTGTTATATCATATCCTTCAAACCGAAACACAGCTATATAAAAAACCAAACGAAATATAATATGTAAAGAGATATAATAATATATGAATTAAAATGTAGTTGATGAGGTATGAATATGAGAGAAGTAACTGGAGATCTGTCTTCCCTGCATACTTATATAAAAAAAAAAAACTTATAATAAATAATAAAAAAATTAATGTACTGCACAAAACAATTTATATGCAGACGGTATCAGCACTGTATTTCTCCTGGCGCCGTTCTCTTGAGTGCTGCCCCTTATCTTCATTCGAGTACTCGATTCGATTTCTTTTAGTTTATATTGATTTAGGATGGTTTTTATAAGTATCATATTTCTAAAGGTATAAAAAAATCTCCAAAGCTTTTAGATTGAATTTTGATACGTGTCACTTGAATTTGAAACGAATGCTGATATGTTAAGAAGTTCTTATTTTGACAAAAGGTATTACTACTAATATTATAAACTACGAGTATTTCAATGAAACGCCTGAATAAGAGTAAAAAAAAAATGTGTTAATCTGAACGGAATATGTACCAAACTTTATTCAAGTATTTATCCATTAATATATTCCATCAAAGCATTTTGTAATAATAAATATTTAAACATCCAGACACCTTTACAAACTTTCACATTTATAATATTAATAAGGTAGAAGGATCTAAATGTTTATTAGTTACAGATTAAAATAATGTATGGAATACAGATAAAATATATCTTAGATTCTTATACATAACGTGTTATACCTAGTTATAAAATGTACATTTTATATTAAATAAACGTAAAAGTAATTTATTTATAGATAACTATCGTACATATATAGTAGGTAGATTTACGTTACAGGAATACTTTTCATAATTTCATCAGAAGTTGTTCCGTGAATTATTATATTATTGTTAGTATTGTGTATTGGTTTTTGTTAAAATAATATTATAATAGAATTAAAGACCGGCATGATCGTTAGTTCAGTATCTTTCCACTCGATATAGCTTTTCCAAGACTTGTCATAAAAGACGCCTTCTGTGGCTTTAAAGTTTTAAGCGAGAATTGACGGTGTCTTTATATTAAATTAAATCCTGACATATATAAATAAATAAAGAATTAAAAATGTTTACTGACGATTGTGATTATACTCATAATTCGTATTATAGATACAAATTATGAGTATTAGAAGAAGAAGAAAGAATTTTATTGACTTTTGCTATCAGTAAAGATAATAATGCATAACATATTAATCTTGAGGAGTGAAAACACATGACATATCACGGGTGTCACAGTGTACTACTCTGTGATGTCTTTGATGGTACTCATATTTTAAGAGCTATCTTTGTTGATATTTTCCATGAGATTGCTAATGTAGCAACATTTAGTAGAACATATTTAACCAATACACAGAGGGTGAGTTTAGCGTGCAGAAATAATATGCATCGTTATTTCAGCCGCAAATTATCCACTGCTGTATATGAGCCTCCATTATAGACTAGTAAGTTATGGGTCCTAAACCACCTGCCCCTCTGGAACGAAATTTAAATTATCATGTATTTATTATACATGGCCCTGACTGTCTTGCTACCAAGTTTGTAAAAAATAGTAAAGTAATTCGAAATATAAATATAAAATTCATCAAATTTTGTAACTTTCCTCAAAGAATATAGTCGATAATAAGATTCACAAAAAAAGAATCGTAGTTATTTTTTTTAAACTGCGTGGTCAAATGATAAATTTTCATATTGAATAGTATTCTTTATGAAAGTTTGAGTAAAGTTTTTCGGAATTAAAATTAATTATTTCGTATTCAGTTGATTTATATTCAACAAGTTTATTAAGCAAAGAATATGCTCAAATTTAAAATATAATAACTTCTTATACTATATCGGTTCACTAAAAATAACTTGTAAATGGAAATCACCACTCGCAAGAATAATTTAAGTTTATGTACATAAAATTACCGTATCTTGATATTGAATAGGCCACCACTTCCTTTCCCGCTGATGTCGTAAGAGGTGACTAAAGGAGGACGAGGGATGGGCAGCAACGTCCTTCTTAAAACATCTTCAAAGCCTAGTTAGGGTTGTCAATCCGTCTGTCAAACGTAGCAACTACTGGTAAACAGGGGAGGGGGTTAATTATGTTCCGAAGTGGACAGTTAAAGGCTGATATGATGGTGTACATAAAAATTTTGACATAAAAATACGATAAGATTAAAAAAAGAATCATTAAAATCGGATTAGAATCGTTTCACATACGAAGTTGTTTGACGAAGACAATAGAGCGTAAGAGACGTAATGCAAGAATAAAGCCTATAATTAATTGAGAAATTAACGGATTACAAGTTTTAAGAGCTTTTTGTTGATATTGTTTGGTAAGCATTGAAACTCGCTTTACGTTAAATGCTTTTAGTACCGCAACCTTATATCTACAAAATCGTCTATAAATTTAGTTATCTAGAAATCTTGCCACGGGTGACTGGATATAAAAGGAATTAGATTACAAAATATCTATCCAAATAATAGACTGCGCTTTATTGAAAAGCTACTCAGTGATTTTATCTATAAGATTTTTACGCTTTTTTTAGGTTATACCATAAGACACAACTTTATTATGTTGGGTATCTCGTCCTGCCTAGCTGCTATAGATGACGAGATACCCATTTTTAGTTATTCTTGTCGATTTATAGTATTGAATATATTAATATATTTGGAGTGCGTTAAGGAGGAGTTGTTTGTGCATGCATGCATGAAATGATAAACATTTTCTTTAACATATTTTTATATTGATTTTTTTTTGTTTATTTATATAATCTTGTTTTCGTCCTCCTGAAAGGACTTATAATATTTAAACGTGAGGTACTAGCAGCAAAGACTGGCTGCGATTGTCGCCTGAAACAAAAAGTGGGAGAATGGTCAACCATCGAATATGCAGTCTCCCCAGTAACAGACTGTACATTTGACATTATGATTTGCATTTACAAACTATGTAACTAATATTTAGAAAGGGTGATATGTCCATATGTGTGAGTATTTATATGGATATTGAATGTTGAAAGTTTTAGGAACTATGTTTTATTAATTGCTTTGAGAGGATCGATGACGTGAGTACAGAAATTTGTGAAAGCGTCCGCGGATGTCTGTTTTCTAATAACTTCCTTGATGTCATAAAGCACTACTCTTGCAATCGAACAGCAATTTTCGTACTTGATACTCTATCTGATGAGATGTAGTATTGATCGTGAAGAGGAGTCATCGCACAGACACCGGTTGTCATCTATGATGCGAAATTGGTGAAGCTACACCCTAGTAAAGCTATGCTCGATAAGAGTTTGTGTAATGGTAAAACTAACAGGGTTAATGCTTTGAAACCATTCATCAATGTAAGAAAAAAGGCTTTCCTGAGTGTTGCTTCTTTGATGTGATACTGGGCATTGGAAATCAGTTTATTTGACTGATAACCTAGAGCACAGCAGTGGGTTTTGCAACCTCGTCTGCTTGCTCGTTACCGGTGATGTCAACGTGTGCCTTCACCTACACAAATTAGTACCAGTTACACGTGGAATATAAAGTTTGGTTAATACCTTTAACCATAGACTCTTAGATATTACGCTAGTGTAGCGCCATGAGGATCGACCGACTATCAGAGAGAATAACGACAGAAATATGGGTCATACTAGAGGTTTTGATCCAATTTATGGTCGTACTGATGACGATCAGTTTGCTTATGAAAACGGTAATCGTACGATATAACTCATGTTTGATAAGTTACTTACGAGTATTTTCTCATTTATTGATATATAAAATTGTTGTAATTGCTTTGTGTGTCATGGAATGGAAACATTCAGGATAAATAACATTCACATTTATTGCTTTCTGTTTACTTCTAGAAATTTCTAATTAAATATCTGTAAATTAATCTTCGTTCCTAACACCTAATAATGAAGATAGACATTTTTAATTAAAATATTTCCAAATGACATGAATAAAATTTTCATACAAAATAAAATTAATATAAATATACGTAAACTTGTACTTCACTTTAATATCCTGTATAAATTTTACATGTCATTCTTTTAGGAAATTATTTAGTAAATTTCTAATCGGTTTAATAATGGTGATATCTTTCTGCTATCTCTAATCAGGGAAAAGGGCATGTAGAAGGAATTGAATATGAATGTCTGATTTTTGCACCATATGTCAAAATTTAAACCCTTTTCCTTAATAATATACTAGTCATAGAGTTTCTGTTCTCTTAGTTCCGACAGTTTTGGATTACAGGGGTTCATGACCAGCAAAACATCCGGTTTTTCTAATGTATCAAGTAAATGATTTTTTCCAGTAAACAGAATTATTGTTATCTAATTTCTTACATCCTAGTTAGAGGGTTAAGCAATTCATTGTTTGTTTTTCCGTTGATTAAAGTTAAATTAGGGTTTTCACACATTAGAATAATTCCTTATCTGGTAAATTTGTTTCTATTAGACTTTTGCATGTTATCTGCAGATTTAATTAGTATTTACAGTACTAATTATTGTACTCCAACTCCGAAAATATCTTCATTCAGAATATTCACGTGCAAACTTGACTCGTGTACCATATCTTTACTATTTCGTAAACAATGTGCGAATGTGAAACTCTAGATTATTATTATCTCAATAGTACTGTAGAGTTTTAACAAGCTGTATCATAGATACTAACTACAAATTTATCATACCAATTACAAGCATTCCATAAAATTTTTATCTATAAATATAGATAAAAATTCTGTGGAATGCTTTACTACCTATCTATTATTTTCAGTTTAGAGAAATATTTTGTTAGTAAAAAGTACCACCATATGTCTGATAGCACTTATACATGTACCGCTTTCGGTTTGGATCTCGTTCAATATAAAAATTTGTATTTAAGATTATGCATATGTATTTGTATTTATATCTGGTAATTGTCTCTATATTTATATCTATATATTTACAAAAATATATGTATATGTAAATTAATTTATATATGTATGGTTATAGGCTTTCTGAGCTTAGATTTGTATTACTTAGATGGCTGTGTGTTATACATCCAGAGACTTTTATAAATAATATTTAAATTGGCCACTTAGTAATGGTTTTCATTTAAGAATTGTGCACTGTAGGTATATGCTGCAAAACATATTGGCTACTAAATGCATTAGTTGCAGACTGTTTCTCAGCCCCAACCATAATTTCCTTAATGGCAAGCAAATCGCCCACCACTTAGCTGAGAATAGCTATTAGCGGATATAAATACAGTCGTATTTTATCCCCTATTAGAGATCAATATAAGTCGAACCACTTTCATATACAATAATACTCATAACTTCTTGACTATTTTCATCTTACCGTTGACGTTGTAAATATTTGTCGAGTAAATAAAATAGATGGTGATAACACTTCGCTCGTGCTACAAACATTTGATAACATTTTGCTTTCGAAATCGTCGCGGCATTGTGTTTTACGACCGTTAAAATGTACATTACTTTTATATAGAGACTGCCCAGATAAATTTTGTCTATTGAAAAAAAAAAAAGATATAAATGTTGTATTGGAATAATCAGCAGAATGGACAAAATATGCTCTCAATTCGAACATAGGGGTTAAATAAAACAGTAATAACTTAGGTGTTCCTATGGGACATTCATCCAATAAAATAAATATGAACTGGTTCCGGAAGTGTCAGAAGTGCGTAGGAATTAAGTAGGCGAGTGAGCGCAGTTGAGGGTGCGCAGTAACATTTTGTGGACCTATAAAGGGATGGGCATAGGTGCTCGCCCCATTCACAAGTTCCCAGACGCCAACACTACAGCTCCCGTGAAGAAATCGCACCAAACTTTGAGTTTCGATCTTGAGTTAGTGAAGTGTATTTGAACTTTTTACGTGATACCCAATCATCATGAGAGCTTTTCTCTATATAGTTCTGGTCGTGATATCATGCGATGGCATTAGTAGCTTACTTTTGCCGGTAAGTATGAAAATTAATGTTTGAAAAATTTATAATTATATTTATTTTTGTAAGAAAATCATTTCGTACATTTGGGAATAATTAAATTTTTTAACGTATTTAAAAAAGATACACTAAATAAATTGCAATTATTGCATTTCGATTTATTGCTATGTTTATTAATTAATTTCTATTTTAAGTAGCAAGATTTATTTAGTAACAAAACATATAACTTAGATTATACATATAATTATAGATGATATAATATGTCGAATAATACGTGTGTGAGTTGTATATTTACATTACTCAGATCTTTGTTTAATTGTGCCAAAAGGATAATTTGGTATATTTAGATAAAGTAAATATATTAAATTTAGACTGTATCTACGTTTACATAAAGTTATAAAACAACTACTTCAACAACTTGTAGATTCTAAATAAATTGATAATTTGAATGACATTTAGATGGATAGACTTATAGGATTACTTCTTAAATTTAATTCTATATTCATTATGAAATAACTTATTAAATCTAAAATATAATCTGGTAAATTCATATAATCTGGCCACATATCCCGGAAAGGCTTAATTCAACATAAGCAAAAAAATTAATTAGAAGTATCTATAGTTCATTAACATGTCATATATATATAACATGGTAAAATATATTTTATCACTACATAGTATAAAAGAAATTCGCTTCCTGTCTGTCTGTCCCTATGTATGCTTAGATCTTTAAAATTACGCAACGGATTTTGATGCGATTTTTTATTAGACAGAGTGTTTCAATAGGAAGGTTTACATGTATAATATACGCATAATGTTGTAGAGAAACACTGATAATTTTAGAGGTTTCTAATGTGATGTAATGTGCACCCGTGCAGCCGGGGCGGGTCGCTAGTAAAAATATTACCTGTAAATAATAATATTTCAATTATTAATAACAGGGTAGATATTCCTAAGGACTAGAGGGTTATGCCTCCCTGATCAATAAATAATTGTATTATCATATAAAAAATCAAACAGGGCCAAAGTACAATTTCTTAATCGCAGAAACACGGTAAATCAAAAATATTTATGTGGGTGACTTTATACAATTTATCCTATATATATAACATTAAGGTTGTATAACATAAAAGGCATTTGTTACCCACATTTCAGCGAGCATATTTTATGGGATACTCGTAGAGTCATGATTATAATTTTTCTTTGATATTATGACACAGTATCGCTTATTAACATCCACCCGAAATTTTATATCTTTCTGATCTAAAAATGATGATTATGATACGCGGTTATGCAACAGATCATGAATTTACCATAGGGTAAAAGCACACTGTCTATAAATAAAAAAAAAAGACTTCAACTTTTCTTATAGGTACATAAGTAGGTAACTTATAGTATTTTTTTCTTATAAACAGTAATGGAATAATTCTTATTCTTATTCGGTGGGGATTAAAATGATTAAGATGAAGCCAGGTAAACTCAACAACGTAGCGAATTCCCTAGGAATATTTCTTAGGGAACGTCACGTTGTTCACCCGCCTCGATAGTTTCCAACGGAAACTATGTTCATGTATATTACATAAATTACTAACTGAAAACTAAATGAAATGCAAAATTAATAGTACATATTACAAATTAATACACATTGCATTATATATAAAACATAATTGTAAATGACTGACATTGCAATGCAGTAAATTACATAATAGTTAATAGATACTGAGAACGTTAACAAAAATTAAGAATATGGGTGATTTCTAGAGCAATAACCTTAATTGAGAGTGACTAAGGCAAACAAGATAAAACACAAAATTTCATTTCTTGAAAATATAATAGGCAATTCCAAAGTAAATTTGATTCTTTGATGTCAAAATTTGTGATAAACCTTACGTAATTGGTTTTAATCTTTGATTAAAGTATGTAAATTAAGTAATCGATCTTATATGGATATTTTATCTCTTTTTAAGTGTGTATTATTTTATATGGCTGAACGGATTTGGAAAAAAATTTTTTTCAGATATTGTAAGTTATCATAATATGCTCTATATTATACCCGATGCCTACGTGGAAGAAAGAGTTGGCCCATTCTATGTCGTGTGGTGTGGCCGGCATAAAATAGACCACCCCCTCTTTTCCCGTGGGTGTTATAAGAGGCAACTAGGAAACTTTATGGTTAAAGAATGGGTAGCAGCGTCCCTCTTAAAATATCGCTAAAACGTTAAATATGGTGGCTAACTTGCCTGCCAAGTATGGCATCTACTGGTAAACGTTCAGCAGTGGACAGTTAATGGCTGATATAATGATGATGATGATCCTATATTATGTTACAAATTTAGCTAACTTTCTTTATTTTGACTACCTTTTTTGTATATGTTACAGAATATTTCCGTAAAATTTGTACAGATTTCGATGATTTTTTTTGCAATCGATTGCAGAGTTTTACGCCCATTTACTGGATCAGAGTCTTAAATTATTGCATTTGGATTCGACCTGTTTACGAAATTTGCTGTCAATTTACTTTTTAAATTTTAGAATATTTTTTTTTTATTCTCTATGTATGACAGTTTCGATGTTTTAGATACCGTTATTTTAACTATTCTAATGAATTCAGATAATCCTTATAGATGATTTATAAAAATCAGAATTTTTATATGTATGACCATTATTTTTGTTCATCATCATCAAATCATGGCTTATTTCGATATTTTCCTTCATTAGATATTATTTTAATGTTTTACACGATAACTACTCGTTGCAAGAATATTCCTTTAAGAGCCCGTAGGTGTATTTGATAATTAATCCTTAACTTTTGTTATACACTTCAATACGATAAATTTTTCCGAACTGCCATGAACTATGTAAAATAATCTGTAGGTAAATACATAATTTTGTATATAAGTAATGTTTTAATCTGACTGATGGAAACGGGGGAGATTTTTTCGCAATCATATTTCATAAGTTCAGTATTTATTACTTAGGTACAATATATATAAAGTAAACAAAATTTCATATTTATAAAGTTAGTGAGATTATTATTAATTTACTTACACAATAAAAACATTTTATTTTTAATATTGTCAATGAATTAATAAAAATTAGCTTAGAAGAGTAGAATAACTCGTATAGCGTATTTCTCTTTGTCACGTTATCACGAGAAAATTACTGAATAAAAGTTTATTGACACTTTTATAAGTAGGTACGTAATCTAACTTAAATAATCTTGAATATTTTATCAAAGCTGCTCGAACGAATCGTAAGATACAGATTGATTCTTCTATTTTATAAAGTCGCACGAACTGGAAAGTAAAGGTCTTTGTTAATTTCTTTTGGACTTTGTTTGTTGTTTTACCCTAAACTTCCTTATACATTAATAAAGTAAGTAGGATATAAAAAGAGATTTACTGAAAACATCAATAGAATGAATGAAAAAACATACCCAACGCTGGTAAAACCGCAGAAAACAGTCAGTTGCATTCAAAATACTCAGACATGCATTACTATTACTACTATGGTGTCGAAAAAAGAACATACACACATGTTGTCAACACTTATTTCACTGAGTAAAACTCGAAATAAATTCTTATACCAAGCAACCTGGGCAATTAGTAGGATAATATTAGGTAGTAATATGACCGAGACCCGTGTCTAGTAGTGAGTTCTTACTGAATGGAAAACGTGTCAATTTGAAAAGTTGATTATTGTAAAAAAGAAATTATTTTACACAAAATAGTGAAGAACTTTTAACAGATACTACCTACCTACTTTGTTAATGCCTCGCACGTTTTACAGTATCTACGATAGTCTATAAATGTTGTTAGAGCCGTAATTTAATTGTCGTAATGTCTACGGATACTTAAATCAATGAGAGTTTCTTTTTATAGTTCTGACATTTTTTTTATAATTGAGTTGAACAATGAAGTAGTAGACAAACACCCTGATGACTACGAATATAAACTACGTGATATATTGCTGTTTTTAAATGCATATGAAATAAATACAATAAATACACTAGATGCAATAATTCTAATTTTAATGACTTAAAATTAAATCTTCGTGTTTTTTTTTTTTATAATTATTAAGAAGTGTAGAACCGAAGCCAAAAGAAAGAAAAAAAATAGAAATATAGATTATAATAATCATACTAACATGAGGTTGGATTGATTAAATTGATATATGCATACCTACCTAAGCTCTGAGTCAACGGATGACTAAGCAGATTTTCAATTAATGAAATACATACACAATTATGATGATAAATGTTAATTAATAAAGATATTGTAACAATATTATCTATGTTTATACAAACTTTCTTTGGTATAGGCAGAGACAATCGAGTGCCAAAGATCTTCTTAGACAAAGTGCTTCATTCGCTTTCAAAATTTGTCTCATGCATATACACCAAAGGGCCTACCATGAAATATTTTTCGAAATTTTGGGGTCAAATCAAAGCAAAAATTTGATATTAAAATTACATAAGTTAAATGTTAAAATATCGTTCCTTTGGGCTTTTATGGCAGGATTTAGGACTAATGAAATGTTAAGCATTATTGACTTATCCAATTTCCATTTTTGGCGAATTAATTCCTCCTTCAAAAAGACATATCTGAACATTAGAGATTCTCTAGATCTTTCTAGTTACAGTGACAGAATGTTTGCTTGGAGGGTGACATTATTCAAAATTTGTGACCTGTCTAGGAATTGTAAAAAGAGATTTCTCTTTAATATCTTCAGGACAGTTTGCCCGAGTCGTGGTAAATTGTAATTGCAGCCCTAAAAGTTTTTTTTTTTAATTGTAATATACCGTTTGGTTTTCAGTGGATAGAAGTCTTAGATATACTTTTTTTCCTTAGCGGGTAGAAACATTTTAGTAATTTCACAAAGGTAAATAAAAGTTTTCCTAATACCTACCTACATCGATATCAACGTAATTACGTTTTTTTTTTAATTGGATAAATTTTATTTATTGATTTAAAAATAAAATAAGCAAGCTGAAGTGACAGTGGTCTTGTCACATA